CATGATATATGGAGAGACCTTACCACTTCAGTAAAAACTCAAGAAATAGAAATCTTGTGCCTTACAGAAAATACAGCTGTTCAATTTCTCTAGAGTGTTAGGTCAGGATCTCATAGGCAGGCTTCACATTGTTAAGTAGCTTTCACTTAACTCTGAAATCCTTTTACTTGGAGGTAGTATCCCAGCTGATGGCTAGATCCCCTCTCCTCCTAGCATTTTTGAGGTTGGCCAGAGGGTTGGTCACGAGTCTCTTGCAAAACACCTGGAAGCCTTGAACAGGTCTGTGAAGCCTAACTGGAAAAACTCCTATTGTTATTTTATAAATTAACTGCTTCAAGTCTGCAGAAGCTTTTAGAATACCCGAACAGGTTGGGGGGAGGGGGCAATCTGTTCTCAGAATTCTTACCTATGATAGCAGCTCATCTAGGTGCAGTCTGAGCACTAATAGAGTTCTGTCACAGAATTATAGACTAACTGACCTTTAAAGGCTTAAAATACATTTTGGAGGGGTTTTTGCTCTTCTTTTTTGTTTTATCCTCACAAGAGGACATTTTTCCACTTTTTTGTTCAGATAGAGTGGGAGGAGGGGTAAGAGAGAGAGAGAGACATTGACATGAAAGGGACACATCGAGTGGCTGCCCACCTGCACGACCCAATGAGGGCTGGGGACAAACTGCAACTGAGGTACGTGCCCTTAGTGGCAGCCGAACCCGGGTCTCTTGGGACCACAGGCTGACACTCTAACCACTGAGCAAAACTGGCCAGGGCAATTTTTGCTTTTCTTAATTTTTAATTTTTACAGATGATTTTTACAATAACATTACTAGACTGCATGGGTTTGTTTTTTTTTTAAAAAACAACAACAACAACAACCTTGTGGTCATCCAAATAACATGTGCAGTTCTGAGAAATTGTGTGTGTGTGTGTGTGTATTTTTATAAGCTTTTTCTTGAGGAACTTGGAACATAGTGAGGCCTGGGTAGGAATGAAGCCATTAAAATGGCTTTTCCTGAGATTGGGAATGGTTTACTTTTTTGGCCTGAGAGCATTGAAGAATAATCACCTGAAAATGGAGTGAATGTGGGTAATCTTTCCCAGTCTATCCTACTCCTTGATTGATGCTGTGATCAGATGTTCTACCAACATAAATAATCAAGGGAAAATAGGTTTTTTATTTTAGCAAGTGGGCAGAAAGAAAGCCACTTGCTGAATAGGTCTTTGTATTCCTTCAGTGTTTGTTATATTACCCAGAACAAAGAATCCCTCTAGTCATGAAGACAGTATGATCTCTCTTTCCTGGGTAACCCAGCCTCTAAAAAAGGATGCTTTGCAGGGTATTTTAAGGATGACACATTACCTACTGCAGAAGCCTGGGTCAGACCATCTTTAATCTGATCTCAGGTGCCCCTTTCTGCCCTTGTACCCACAGCTCTATGAAGGGCATCATCTCTGCAGCCAAATAAACTACTTGCTATCAAAACTCTGCCCATCTTCCAAGGCCCAGTTCCAGTGCTTCATCATTCGTGACATTCGTCATCCTGTTTCCCCATCTAGAATGCCTTCCCTCTGAAATTCTAAATCTTTGTGGAAACTTCTGCAGCAGCATTTACTGCCTAGCAAAAGACTTTGAGTTAAAAGACCTGGATGTGGGTCTTGACTCTTCCTCTTACCAAGAGTGATCTTGGGCAAGCCAGTGATTCCCTGGAGCCTCAGTTTCCTCTTCTGTCAAATCCGATTAACAGCTATGCCTGCTTTTCAGTGTGCTTGTGGAAAGATAGAGAAATTGTGTTTAAATTGCAGGCTCCTTGAGGGCAAGAACTGTATTTTGCTATCTCCAGTATGGCCAGGACTCTCACTTTTCTGAATCACCAAATCATTGGGCTTTCGTGAGTTCTGGTGAGAGGGTAGGATGGAGGAGGGCTTCAGAGGCCAGTGGAGAATTGGATTTGCACTTGGTTTCTGGGTGGTGATCAATGACCAACTGTGGCCAAACAGGTTTTTCTATGCTTGGACTATGCCTCTTATTTTCAGTCTTTGAAATATTTGCTTTGGCAAGAAAACTTAAAAAAAAAAAAAAAAAAGCCGTTAAAGAAAAATTATCCCTGGCTGGTTGTTCAGTGGTTAGAGCATTGGACGGAAGGGTCTTGGGTTTGATGCCTGGTCAATAGCACATACCTCGGTTGTGGCTTTGATCCCTGACCCCGGTCAGGATCGTGCAGGAGAAAGCCAATCAATGTGTCTCTCTCACATTGATGTGTCTCTTTTATTCTCTCTTCCCCTCCCTCTCTTCCACTATATCTGGGGAAAAAACAGTCAATGGGAAAAGATCCTCAGGTGAGGACTAAAAAAAAGATGTAAGTGGTATTCATTTCTACATGTGGATAAATTTGTGTAGAAAGAAGGATACTTGTGTAGGATTATAACAGAAAGGACAGCCTATCTCTCACGAATTGCCAAAATCTGAGGATGTATCTTGTGTACAAACCGAGCTGGAGTGTGAGCAGTGAAGCAGCCTGGGGGGTGGGGACAGGGCATAGGATGGAGAATGCTTAACTTGGCACTCAGAACCTCAGTTCTCATTACTGGTTTTGTCGCTAATGTGACCTCAGAGAATCTTCGCCTAGCCTTAGTTTCCTTACCCATAAAAGGGTGCAATACTACTCCATAGTGGGGGTGGGGTAGAGTCTGAGAAATAAACGAGGAAGTAAGGAACAAATCATGTAACTTTGTGCCTACTGAACATGGTTGATGTTCAGTAAGCATTTGAATATGAGTTACTTAATACATGATTCGTCTGGATTGTCTAAAGGCAACCTGGTGTATAGGATCCTGTTGCTGATGTTCAGAGCTTCTCCATATGACAAGATATGCTGACATACAGCAGAAGGGGCATTTTTTTTTAGCCTTTCCTAAATTATTATTCTTAATTTTTTTTTATTTTTTTATCCTCACCCGAGGACATTTTTCCATTTTTTGTTCAGGTAGAGTGGGAGGGAGAGAGAGGAACAGAGAGAGAGAGAGAGAGAAACATCGATGTGAAGGGACACATCGAGTGGCTGCCACCCGCACGACTGACCAGAGTCGGGGACAAACTGCAACCAAGGTACATGCCCTTAGCGGGAACCAAACCCGGGTCTCTCAGGACCGCAGGCTGGCGCTCTAACCGCTGAGCCAAACTGGCCAGAGCTATTATTCTTAATTTTTAAAAATGTTTTTATTGATTTATTTTTTAGAGACAAAGGAAAGGAGAGGGAAAGGGAGAGGGAGGGAGGGAGGGAGGGAGGGAGGGAGAGAGAGAGAGAGAGAGAGAGAGAGAGAGAGAGAGAGAGAGAAACATCAATGAGAGAGAAACATCGTTCAGCTGCCTCCTGCACCCACCCCTACTGAGGAAGGAGCCTGAAACCCAGGCATGTTCCCTGACCGGGAATCAAACTGATGACCTTGTGCAGGGGATGACACTCAACCAACTGAGCCACACCGGCCGGGTTGTTGTTGTTGTTATTATTATTGAAAGAAACTTCCCTAACCTGTCAAATACCCAATAATTAAACTCTGGACTATGTTGTGAAATATCCACATGACCTAACTTTTAAAAGTAAAGATGGTCTAGCCCTCTAACTACTACATTCTGAGTTAAAGCTAAAACAACCAGCAGTTACCATTTTTTACCTTTTTATATAATCCATTTGAACTCCTTAACTCATAAGTTTTGATGGTTTCTGAATTAGTGAAAACTGAATGGGGTACTCTAGGGAATTTCTAAAGAAATATAACAGTTGTGTTCTGCCCTTTAGAATTTATGGTCTCATGAGGGAGTCAAGACAAAAGCAAGAAAATACTCTTGCAACATCTCCCACGTACACAACTTTGTAATTCTCACAAATATAAATTCTGTTGATCCTGGAGCAGGAGCTAGCAAAGTATGGCCTGGCCAGAGGATGTTGTGAATAAACTGTGCTTGGAACATGCCCATGCTCATCATTTACCAAAAGTCTATGGTTCCTTTTGAGCGACAACAGGCAGAGTTGAGTATTTACCACAGAGACCTTATGGCCCATAGCCTACAATATTTAATAGCTGGCCCTCTAAGGAAAAGTCTGTCCATTCCCTGGACAGGGATGCTCACCAGAGCTCTGGGCACAGAACACCTGCTGACTTGAGCAGTGAGGATGGATGCCCTGAACACAGGCCACGTGCTGCCTGGGCTGACCTGCCTCTGCTCCAGGACAGCTCACGTGGTCCGGGGAGCACCTGGACAGGAGCCAGAGTTAGATTTAGTGGAGACAGGGAGTATCAGGAAAGGTTTGTGAGAGGGAGGATGTTCCGGCATGGGTGGGACTGAAACCTGTGGAAAAAGTGGGGCTGCAGACCCAGATAGATACAGTTAAGGGTGGGGCAGGTAGAGCCAAAAGCCAACTGTGGAGGGTAGTCAAGGTTTTGTGAAAAAGCGATTTAAAAGTCACCGCACTTACTGTATGTGTTTGTGGCTTTACATCTGTACAGGTTTGCCAATAGTAGAAATTAAAGGCCTAGAAGACCTAGATCTAATAAGTTAGCTCTGGTTAAGTCTAAGAAACGGAGTAGGGGATGGAGAACTGAGGAGGAGTTTTCAGTGTTATTTTATGAACACCTGTGCTGTTTGAATACAGGCGTACCTTGGAAATATTTAGGATTCAGTTTCAGACCACTACGATACTGCGAGTTGCAGTCTTTTTACTGTTGGAGGGTCTTGCCTTCAATTTGTAAGAACTGCAACATCTATGAAGCGTAATAAAGCAATGCACAATGAAACAGGGTATGCCTGTATTTAAGCACAATAAAACAGGATATGCCTGTATTTATGCACAATAAAACGGGGTATGCCTGTATTTACGCACAATAAAATGGGGTATGCCTGTATTTATGCACAATAAAATAGGGTATACCTGTATTTCTGCTAAATGGGTGTTGATTCGGTAATTAAAATAAAAACAATCATTTACTTTTAACATTTTAGGAATTGGCAACATTTTCAAATGCTTGCATAAGATAGTTCTTGTGATTATGAATAGCTTTATAAGATTGATCAATGACCCCGAGATGACCTGTGAAGAATTATCATCATTCTTTAGACTTGGACCCCAAAGTGGAGCTTTAACAAGAACTGATTTTGGAAACTGGGTATGTCAAGTGACGACCAGCCCCATAGTCTTCGATCCTGTGTGGACTGTCATTTCTCTGTTTAACATCAGAATGTAACAGAACCGTTCTTTGCGATCCATGCCACCAGGCTTTTCTTTCTGTGGTGAAGGACATCTGAGCTCATGTTTTACTTTGTGATAAAAAACATGTAACATAAAATTAACCATTTTTAAGTGTGTGATTCAGTGATACTATGTCACATTTTTGTACAACCATCACTACTAGTCATCTCCAGAACTGAGCTCACATTTGATCACATGCCTTTTGGCTCCAGCAGACCTCAACCATCAGTGTGTTTTATTTCACTATTGGCCTTAATACTTTCTTCCCCAAGTAAATGTTATTTATTGACATGAAATCCGTACCAGGTGTTCCTGTATCATAGTAAAGGCAACTTTCAGCCAGACACCCTGCTTTTGTTATCAGGTGCTTTGCTTAGAAAGGAAGTGAGTGGCCTGTGCATGAGCCCCTGATTGCATATCGTACCCTTGGTCCTGTCGGCACGTGCTGCCCTGACAGTCCGGGATCTTCAGGTGCATCTGGACTCTTTGTTGATCAAGTCCTGACCACCCACTGTGCTGTGGTGATTAGGAGACGGAAAATCTAATTGTTCAGATGCCAGCTGGTGGGATTCAGTGATGAGGATGACCAAGCCACTGGTCCACTGAGGAGTGACCCTCAGTGCAGTGTGAAGAGTTAAGAGCTCCGGCTTCCTAATCAGCCAGGGTTTGGATAGGGTCTGGCTCTGCCATTTCTTAGATCTGACCTTAGATGAGTCACTTTACCTATGCAACCCTGTCTCCTCTTTTGTAAAATGGTGTTATTTTAGTGCCAGCTTCACAGATCTGAGGATTAAGGAAGCTAACAGGCATACTTAGCAAGTGTCTGGACGCTGGACTATGTCTGGGTGGGTCAGGAAGGCTCACAGGGAGGTAAAGGTGTAATAATAGCACCTCCCTCATCAACTCATGGTGAGGATTTATTAGGTTAATATATGAAGAGCAGTTCAAACCATGCCTAGCACACAGTAAGTGGCTTGCAAGTTCTTTGGGCCCCACTGGCTTAGGGCTGCTGGGCTGCTACTTTAGGCAGGATGACTTTGGGAAGCAAACCTAAGAATGTTGAGTCAAGCCCAGTTTTCCTGGGCCCAAAGAAACCTCGGGTATTTTATTTTCTTCATGTTTGTGAAACCTCTTTGCTGAGGCTGAGGTCCCAAACAGTTGCAAGGCGTTAATAATAATTCCTTACATTTGTATAGTGCTTCCAAGTTTACCAAGTACTTCCATGTTTATTTCCCTCATCGGATCTTCACACCGATGAATGAGCGGTGGTTATGAGCTACACAGTTCAGAGGCAGGAAAACTGCTCAGCAAGATTTGAGTACCTTCTCCAGTTGCGATTGGCCTTAACAAGCACATTTATTGAGAACTCTCCCCTCCCCCTCTCTTCTGCCAGCTGGGTGAAACTTTGCTTTGAAACAAATGATGTAGATTTTAAAAGGATGATCTTTGTGATTAGGAACCAAACAGCATTGGGTCATCTTTTTTATTTTTTAAAGCGCTGAGTGCTGAGAAAGGGGAACGTAGACTCCAGACGCCCATCCTGCTAGTCATGATTGTGGTTTGTTGACTGGATTTCTGCCACTCCAGAGGGTGACGAGCCAGACTGGCACAGTGCCCCCACTCCCCCCGCTCCTCCCAAGGCCCTGCTGGTCTGTTGAGAATACTGTGAGGTCTAGGGAGGGGTTTCTTCTATTTAAATTACATGTTAGTATCTGCATTGCTGTCTCCTGGTCCGCTTTTTTGCCTTTCAAACTTCAGTAGATGGATACTGACCTTTTAGTTGGAAACCCAGAATCTTGGAAAGAACAATTCCCTAGAATTGCTAACCTTATGAAAATAATTGTGATTCTTTTTGCATAGAAATGGTGTTGGAATTTTGCAGTATCTCACCAAAGGTTTGGTATGTGGTGCTGAATACTTGAATACTTGTCACTTCCTTGTGGCCTAAACATATGACTTTCTTTTTAAAGCTCCTTTTTTAAAAAAAAAAAAAAATTTTTTTTAATTGATTTTTTTAGAGAATGAGGAAGGGAGAGAGAGATAGAAACATCGATGAGAGAACCTCAATTGGCCTCCTCCTGCATGCCCTGCACTGGGAATCAGGCCCACAACCTGGGCATGCGTCCTGACCAGGAATCAAACCAGTGACTTGGTGCATGGGTCAGTGCTCAACCACTAAGCCGCACTGGTCGGACTACTCAGTTTTTTAAAATGGCTTTTCCACCAGGTGTCTTGGGAGCCTGGTTACTTCTCAATGCCTCTGTTTCCCTAGGGGACAATTGATTGCAAGGTTGTGCAGTCCTGTGGCCCTGGCCAGCTTGGCAGAGCTCGGTGACCAGCCGACACGATGATTCACGCTGCACCCCCACCCTTCTGAATTTTCTGACAGCCTTGTGACTCTCACATGAGGGATATGAGTGGCTCTTGAGAAATCTTTACATAAGAGGTTTAAAATTTTTCTTTTAAGATTGATGAGGTGATTTTCCTTAAAATTAGTACATTCCTTACTGTCTTCTTAAGGACAAAGTGTTCATTTTTATTGCTGCTTTTTACTTATGGTTTATTGATGTTTGTGGTTTAGTTCTTCATGTTAGTCATGATGTACTGCTATTATTGAACCTAAAGATATGAGAAGGTTCTTTCATTGTTTAGAGCTCATAGTTCATTATTCATATGTGCAAAATAGTACCTTAGTAATCATGAACTCACATGCTGTGTTCCGAGATTCTGATTCTTAGTAATTCTTACATGGAACTGTATAGCTTTCTCTTATGAACAAATAAACTGGCAGGTAGAAATCATGTAAATAAGTAGTTTCTGTTACCTACTTCACTGACTTACTTTCCAAGTTTTTTGGGGGGATGGAGGGCATTTGGTCTACTTTAATATTTTTCAAAATATTAAAATAACCAATGCCTCTTGCTGTTACCTCATTTTACAGGTAACATTGGAAGGTTCTATAATAGTGCTTGAGTGGGTCCTTTTTGCTGTTGATAATTCGTTTTACCCTTGAGGCCCTGGTGAACTGTTTTGTGTTGACTTTCTGCAGGTGTTTTCACAGTCCTGTGTTTGGTATGGAGAGTGTGGAATTGCATCTGGAGATAAGAGGTACAATTGCAGATATTCTGGGCCACCAAAACCACTGCCAAAGGACGGGTATGACCTAGTGCAGGTAAGTTCATTATCTTGGACATTGGGAACATAAAATGCTAATCCGAGACCCCCTGTAATTATATCTTAAATCTTATTGTGGGGTAGGGGTTGAGGTGAAACACCAATGGGCTTAACTCTTATCCCAAACTTACGTGTAGTGCATGATGACAGAAGGTAAAACAACTCCAGAGATTTCATTTTCTGGAGCTGACTTTGCCTTTCTCTTGAAGTTTCCCATTAGGAGGTTACTTTTTAGGGACTGACTTTGGTACCTCAGATGTGCTCTTTGTAGCTTCTTCAAAATATATTAGAAGTCAGCTTTTTCTGGTCCCTGGATTTTAGAACTTGAATGGACTAGGTTGCTGAGTGGCTGTGACTTCCTTGTCCTCTGTTCATTGCAGTGATTCCTTTGTTTTCCACCAAGAGCCTGAGAACTTTGGCTACCACCCCGTTTTCTGCTGTCTCTTTTACCATCCCTGATACAAAGGGATATTAGAAAATAATTGGGAGAATCAAGGTGAAAAGACTAGTTTTAGAAGTGTAAGTAATCTAAATCAAGTTGACATAGCAGCGGGTCTCCAAGATGTCCTTGCTCCTTTGGTCAGAATTATGAAAGGCACTGACTTTCCCTGGAGTGACTAATGGAAATAGATAGTAGCATTCTGGTTCACCTTCAACAACGAAACAAGAAGAGGTAAAATGATTGTTCAAGGGAGGTGAATGAGCTTCCAAATGAGAAAAACCTTGAAATGTCTCTACATTTGTGAATCCCTAGTTCAGAAATAGTAAATTAATAGCCTTTTAAAAGAATTCTTCAAGAACTTCACAAATAGATGTCTTTTCCTTGCATACTTAAAAGGATTATGTGAATGAAATTGTCTTATTTCACTGAGTAGTGCTTGCCCTTATTTACCTATGCTACTCTGATATCCATGCTTTCTCACCCAAAAGGAACTCTGTCCAGGATTCTTCTTTGACAATGTCAGTCTTTGTTGTGATGTTCAGCAGCTTCAGACACTAAAAGGCAACCTGCAGCTGCCTCTACAGTTTCTGTCCAGGTAGGTTGACTGCCAGGCAAACAGAAAAAATGGCTTTTAGGTTCAGCAGGTCCTTAATAACGTCATTTCGTTCAATGTCATTTTGTTATAACATCACTGAGATGCAGTAGGAACTTAGTTCTTGTTTGCATCAATTACTCTGTGATAAAATTGGTTTCATTATATGCCGTTTCACTTAAAGTCACAGAGCCTAACAAGGACACTAAGCAAGGCCTTATCGTACTTCCTAACAGGTAACATTCTGATTTCCTTTAAAAAGTTTTTCTTTTTGGCCCTGGCCGGTTTGGATCAGTGGTTAGAGTGTCGGCCTGTGGACTGGAGAGTTCTGGGTTCGGTTCCCACTAAGGGCATGTACCTCGGTTGTAGTTTGTCCCCAGCCCCAGTTGGAGTCATGTGGGTGACAACTACTCGATGTGTCTCTCTCACATCGGTGTTTCTCTCTCTTCCTCCCATTCTCCCTCCTACTCTATCTGAAGATAAATGCAAGAGAAAAAAAAAAGTTTTTGTTTTTTTAAGAAAGCAAGCTTATGACTTCTCAAAAATAATGAATACTTTCTGATAAAGTATTAATTATCAGACTTACTTTTTTTCCTTGTTACATTCAGAATTGACACTTGGATTTATCTGCACTGAGAACTAGGTCCTTTCACACTTAAGCCTCTTTGCGCTGTAGGTTCAGACCCAAGACCCTCATCTATGAAATTCTCTGGGTCGACTCCCTCTCTCCACCTCCCCTGGTTTGCACGTGGTTCTCTCTTCCTATGGTGACGCGATGTGCTAGATATAGGCCCAGTCCTCAGTAGAGCTGGCCTTTGGTAGCTGTTAACAAGATTGTTCTGGCATAGTTGGCTAGTTTTGTCAAAATTAGTTTGCTGTCCAATCTGTTTTCTATGACGAGGGCAGTGAAAAGAGTCACATAATAGATGTTCTTATCTAAGCTTATGCAAGAATTCTCAAATGTGCAAAAGGACAAGCTAATGGTGGACTTTAGAAAGCACATTGTGGCCCTGGCCGGTTTGGCTCAGCGGTTGGAGCGTCGGCCTGCGGTACAGAGAGACCCGGGTTCGGTTCCGCTGAGGGCATGTACCTCGGTTGCAGTTTGTCCCCGGCCCTGGTTGGTCGTGCGGGTGGCAGCCACTCGATGTGTCCCTTCACATCGATGTTTCTCTCTCTCTCTCTCTCCCTCCTGCTCTATCTGAACAAAAAAAATGGAAAAATGTCCTCGGGTAAGGATAAAAAAAAAAAAAAGAAAGCACATTGTGATACCTTTCTAAATGTTTTGCATTTAAGCAGCCTGATAAAGGTGTATGGGAAGGACATATGGCGAGAGGGAAATGCTTCTCTGTGCAGATATTAGTACAGGTATCACTGCAGGTGACAGGGCCCAAGTTGGCATCCACTGGGGAATTGCAGCTTCTTCCCAGAAGTTTAAATTAATGTTATAGAGTGGAAAATAATCCCTAAATTGTCCTTTCAGGGCAACATACAATATAATAACAGATTGAAAGTTAAGAATCTAATTTGGCCAGCATACCCTGTGGACGGTTGGTAGGTGTTGTTGGAGCCAGAATGGAGCCACCATTCAGTCAAAATATATTTCTTTAGCACGTGCTGTAGGTTAGGCATTGTGGATGGCAAAAGTTAACCAAGTTTTCTCCATGTTGTCAGAAGTACCAAAGCTTTATCCATAACAGCAGCTAATGAGAAGCTAATATATAGAATAACAAGCAGCTGTCAAATTAATGATTGTAGAGATTAAATGTAACATGGAAGGAGGCTTGTAATTTATGGAAAGTGATAGAAAATTGTGCACCACAAGAGTGATTTTTGTGATAAATGGTGTCATTGCCATTCCTGTTTTTGTCACAGTAAAGCACAAGACTCCTGAAAGAGGGTCAGTGTGTGTGTCTGCTCTTTCACTATACCAGAGGCTTTGAAGGTTGGGACCACACCTTCCTTGTTCTATGTCCTGAGTGGTCACCTGGACTGGATCAGAGCAGTCTTGATTGGTTGAATCGCAAGAATGAAGGTCTAATCAAGCAATCATTTGTTTGTTTGTTTGTTTTTTAATCCTCACCCGAAGATATTGTTCCATTTATCTTCAGATAGTGTGAGGGAGAGAGAGAGAGAAACATTGATGTGAGAGAGACACATCAATTGATTGCCTCCCGCATGACCAGGGCTGGGACCAAACTGCAACTGAGGTACGTGCCCTTGACCAGAATCGAACCAGCAACTCTTTGGTCCTTGGGCCAATGCTCTAACCTCTGGGCCAAACCAGCCAGGGCTGAAGCAATAGTTTTTGTAGATAGCTGTGAACCGAAGAGGAGAGAGAGTTCTTTTGCCACATAACTAGTCAACATTAGGAGCTTAAACTTCGAACGTGAAGGACAGCAGAGAGCTTGTGGTTCTCCTGAAAGCCTGAGTGCTGCTGAAACGCACGCGGCCAGAGACCACCGCTGCTCTCTCTCCTTCCTGAGTCGCAGGAAATCCTCTTCTGTTAGTGAGGACCTCGGGATTATCTGGGCTTGGAAGAGAGACCTTCAGTAGAACAGATGAGCATTCTGTTGTGTAAATCTCATTTTCCCTTTTTTTCCCCCTTAATCAGAATTGTCACCATGATGCTTCTAAGTCCCTTTAGCTTCAAGTCAAAGAAAACAATTCTCTAAATTATAAAGTGCAGAATTCAGAGAAGCATTTTGCTCTTTTTGAAATTACATCTGGACAGCATAAATGTAGTAATTAGGGCAGTTTTTAGAGAAGTGTCTTTATTTTAAAGTGAGGTTTTTGGTTTAGAATTGCTGAGTTTAGTTCGGCTGGTGTGGCTCAGTGGTTGAGCATCGACCCATGCACCAAGAGGCTGCCGGTTTGATTCCCAGTCGGAACACATGCCCAGGTTGTGGGCCCGATCCCCAGTGAGGGGCATGCAAGAGATGGCCAGTTGATGTTCTCTCTCATCAGTGTTTCTATCTCTCTCTCCCTCTTCCTTCCTTGCTTTCTAAAATTAATAAAGGAAAAAAAATAAGGCACTTAAAAAAAAAAAAAAAGAATTGCTGAGTTTAGTGTGTCCTCATGATAGTAATTCATTCTTCATTTTGCAATAAATTTTAAATATGCTTTGTCTATTTTAAATCATTGTTTTGTTGGTCCTATTATCTGACATACAAAATATGATTACTTTTTCTTTAGATGTCCATCCTGTTTTTATAACCTAATGAACCTGTTTTGTGAGCTGACATGTAGCCCTCGACAAAGTCAGTTTCTGAATGTTACAGAAACTGAAGATTATGTTGATCCTGTTACACACCAGAACAAAACAAACGTAAAAGAATTACAGTTCTATGTTGGAGAGAGTTTTGCCAATGGTAAGTAAACTTTTACTTATTTCTCTTTTACAGTTAGTATCAGGGCAGTGGATCAAGTTATTCTTTCTGTTGTCCTGTCAACTATGTGAAAGTGACAATTTTTAGTTCCATTGGCCATGAAATGTATATTGTTGCTTTGCTTATATCCTGTGACTTGAACCACAACTTATAAAACAATCTCCTTAAAGGAGAGATTTGCTTTAACTCCTTCCTAACTGTAAGTTCCCACATGAGAACTTTTAGTGCATGCAAATTTACTTCTGTACATTTTAGAAACCAGTGGAACTGTGGTTCTATTGGATGTGAATTGTGTAACTACATGAATTACTACAAGACTAAGGCGAGTGGGTGAAAGGCTAGATAGAACTAGTTGGCAGAGGAGAGGAGATTTTGACTATGAAGAAACAGATTGCCATAAGAGAAAGTAAACAGGTGTAATGAACAGGGTAAAGGGTACCCCAACAACTAGAAATAATAAAACAATCTGAAAAAGATCACATAATGTTTGTGAAACTCATTGAAATGAAATAATTCTTTTCATTTTTAATATGTTTTTATTGATTTTTTTTTTTTAGAGAGAGAAACATCGATGTGAGAGAGAAACATTGACATGAGAGAGAAACATTGATGGGCTGCCTCCTACACGCTCCCTACTGGGGTTCGAGCCTGCAACCTAGACATGTGCCCTGACCGGGAATCGACTGCAACTTCTCAGTCCATGGGACGATGTTCAATCCACTGAGCCACACTGGCTGGGTGAGATGAAATAATTCTTAAGGAGTAAGATACTAGGAAAAAGGAATGAACAGATTAGAAGTAGATTCAACTGAATATATTAATGAGAAATAATCATTTAAAATGACTGGAAGATAAGCAGCAGATTGACACAGTTACATAAAGAATGTGCCCAAGCCCAGGCCGGTTTTGCTCAGTGGTTAGAGCATCAGCCCGCTGACCAGAGAGTCCCAGATTCAGTTCCTACTAGGGACACGTGCCTTGGTTGCAGTTTGTCCCCGGCCCCGGTTGGGGTCATATGGGTGACAACACTTGATGTGTCTCTCTCACATCAATGTTTCTCTCTCTTTCTCTCTTCCTCCCTCTATCCCTCCCACTCTATCTGAAAATAAGTGCAAAAATGTCCTCGGGTGAGGATAAAAAAAAGAATTTGCCCAAGAATAATCTATAAAATAAGAGAATAAGAATTTGACAACGTTGTTGATTAGAAGAGCAATATACAACTTTAATTGTAATGATTAATTAAAAATATAACCAAAAAATTTTATAGGATAAGTCCTCTATTTACAAAAGCAACAATAAGTAAGATACCTAGAAATAAATTTGCCAAAAGATGTGACATAAAAGACAGTCTACTGAACAGAGAGAGATAATTCTGTCTCGAAACAGAACCGTACATGTGAAAAGTCGATACCATATAACAGGAGTGTTGTTACAAGTCATTAAGGGAAAGGTGGGCTAATTGATAAATGGAGTGAGAAAATTGATTATTCTAGTCATCTAATTTTTATTCTTGCATATTTTACTAAAAATATGTAGATTAAAATCCTAATCTTGGAAATTTTTAGAAGTAAATGTAAAATGTCTTTATGACTTTAAGGTGAGGAGGTAGGGTCCTAGACAAGAGAGGAAAAGCAGAAACCATAAGTGAAAAGATTTATAAATATAAATAATTAGTATCAATAGGAATGCCAATAACTTGGAGCAAGTGTTTGAAAACCATTTAAAAAATATTTTGCAATGTCTGGCAAAGTTGAAGATAGATGTACCTTCATTCCAGAAATACCCCTTTTAGGTGCCTGCCTTAGCGCAACTCTTAGTACGTATAAACAGGGAGAGCCATATAAGAACACTTGTTGTAGCATTTCTGTGATCATGAAAAATTGAAGACATTAAGAGAATGAGAAAACAAGCACCGATTGGGAGAAAATATTTGTAAAAGATTTATTTCATAAAGGGCTATTACCCAAAATATATGAAGAACTTATAACTCAACAGTAAGAAAGAGAACAACACAATTGAAAAACGGACCAAAGACCTGAACAGACAGCTTACCAAAGAAGATTTATGGATAGCAAATGAGCATATGAAATGATGCTCAGCATCATATGTCATTAGGAAATTCCAAATTAAAATAATAATTCCAAATTAAGATGCAACTACATACTTATTTAATGGCCACAATCCAAAACAATGACAACACCAAATGCTGGGGAGCGTGTGGAGCCACAGAAACCTCTCATACATTGCTGGTGGGAGTGCAAAATAGTACAGCCACTTTGGAAAACAGTGTGGTGATTTTTTAGAAAAATAAAAATACCCTTACATACAATCCAGCAGTCACTTTTCTTGGTATTTACCCAGAAGAGTTGAAAACATGTCCACACAAAAATGTGCACATGGATGTTTATAGACGCTGTATTCATAATTGCAAAAACTTGGAAGCAACCAAGATATTCTTCAGTAGGTAAATGTTTTAAACTGTGGCATATCCAGACGATGGAATATTATTCAGCAATAAAAAGAAATGAGCTATCAAACTATGAAGACATGGAGGAACCTTAGATTCATTCATATTACTAAGTAAAGGAAGCCAGTATGAAAAGGCTGCATATTGGATGATCCCAACTATTTATAACACTCTGGAAAAGTAAAAATTATGGAGACAGTGTAAAGATCATTGGGCCCTGGCCAGTTTGGCTCAGCGGTTAGAGTGTCAACCCGCGGACCAATGAGTCCCAGGTTCAGTTCTGGTCAAGAACATGTACCTACCTCGGTTGCAGTTTGTCCCTGGCCCTGGTCAGGGTCTCACATCAGTGTTTCTCTCTCTCCCACTCTATCTGAAGATAAATAGAAAAATGTCTTCTGGTGAGAATTTAAAAAAAAAGATCATTGGTTGCCAGGGGTTGGGGGTAGAGGGATAAATAGGAGAAGCACAGGGGATCTTTAAGGGACTTAAAACTGTTTGTTACTATAACAATGAATACATGTAATTACACATTTTCCAAAACTCATAGAATTTACAACACCTAGAGTGAACCCTAATGTAAACTATGGACTTTGGGTGATAATGATGTGTCAGTATAGGTTGCACTTGGGTGCTGTTGATAGTTGAGGAGGTTGTGATTGTGTGGCGGTAGGGATTATATGGGAACTCTACTTTCTGCTCAATTTTACTGTGAACTAAACTGCTCTAAATAATAAAGTCCATTTAAAATAAAAACATTAACAAATAAGAGGCCCTAAATGCTAATTAAGAGAATGGATAATATATTGGAGCTTAGTCATAGTCTATAATGGAATACTTAAAACTGTTCAGATATATGAGAGTTACAGCAGTCACATGAATGACTTAAAAATATTGACTAAAAATGAGTTACAGAAAATATATGTAGTATGTTGTTTATATTAAGCAATACTGCATATTTATGGATATAATACAGTGGAATGTCAGTTCTTGAACTTAATTCGTTCCAGAAAGCTGTTTGAAAACCGAAGCATTTTTTCTTATTAGAAATAATGTTTGCCTGGCCGGTGTTGCTCAGTGGTTGAGCGTCAACCCATGCACTAAGAGGTCACCAGTTCAAATCCTGGTCAGGGCCCGTGCCCAGGTTGTGGACCCAATCCCCAGTGAGGGGCATGCAGGAGGCAGCCAATAGAGGTTCTCTCTCATCGATGCTTCTATCTCTCTCTCCTTTCCGTCCTCTCTCTCTCTCTCAAATTAATAAAGAAAAAATATTTTTTTAAAAAAGAAATAATGTAAACTGAATTAATTCCAGACCCCCAAAGTGATTCCCTGTTTTAACCTTATATATAGTATATGTCTAATGTACTGTTTAATCTGTAAATAAACACTTTAAAAACAAAAAGGACATTATATGTAAATGAAAATTTAACAAAAAGGAAATGAAATGTACAGAATGAATATTTAATAATAATAATCAGCAACAAAAGCAAAAAACATGAAAATACTCACAGTACAATTTCCTGAGCTGTTACTCGCAGTAAACTGACTCATACTCATGCATTCTCTTCTTTGTCACTTGAGAGATGTGTGACTGATCATACAGGTAACAGCATGAAAGGGTTGTTGGGTGAGAGGTGAATTGTTCGAGATGGTAGACATTCAAAAACTGAAGTTTATCCCAGCCGGTGTGGCTCAGTGGTTGAGCATCAACCCATGGACCAAGAGGTCACTGGTTCAATTCCCGGTCAAGGCACATGCCTGAGTTGCAGGCTCAATCCCCACTGCGGGTGTGCAGGAGGCAGCTGATCGATGTGTCTCTCTCATCAATGTTTCTATCACTCTCCCTCTCCTTTCCTCTCTCTCTCTAAAAATCAATAAAAACATTTTTAAAAACCTAAATGACTGTGTATCATAAAAGTGCCAAATATGACTGTGTATCATAAAAGTGCCAAATATGCATGGGGAAGATAAACACTAAATTTAGGATTATGGTTATCTTAAGGGAGAATGGTCATGGGGGGGGGGGAGTGAGGGGGCTTCAATTGTATCTATAGTCTTTTTTTTAATGTTGAGGCAAATCTAATAAAATAATAAGATTGATATAGTGGGGTGGTGAGTAAATAGGAATTGTATTCTCCATATTCCCTATATGCTTGAAATATTTAATAAAATAAAAACCTGAAAACCAAATAGCAAGCTGGATGATGTGATGGAATTACCCAGAAAACAGCATAGAGTTATAAAGATCATTAAAGAAGTGACATGTGGGATAAAGTGAGGTGCTCCAGAAAAAAGACGAGAGAGAGTTGGGGAGAGACAATAAGCCAAAGGATAATGGCTGAGGATTTTCCAGAATGGATGAGAGATGAATCCTCAAACTTAGGAAAAGAAAATGAATCTTAAGCCAGATAAATTGAAAAGAAATAATATACACAGAAATCAAGTGTATTTCTGTACACTTACAGTGTTCAATCTGAAAGTGAAATTAAGCAAACAATTCTATTACAATAGTATCAAAAAGAGTAAAATACTTAGGAATAAATTTGACAAAAGAAATGCAAGCCTGGCTGGTGTGGCTTAGTGATTGAGCATCAACCAAGAGGTTGCAGGTTCAATTACTGGTCAAGCCACATGCCCAGGTTGTGGGCTCAATTCCCAGTGGGGGGCATGTAGGAGGCGGCCAATTGATGTTCTCTCTCATCGATGTTTTCATCTCTCCCTCTCCCTTCCTCTTTTTCTAAAATCAATAAAGAAAAAAAATTCTTTTAAAACTATGAAACATTATTTAAAGAAATTAAAGGGAACCTTAATAAATAGAAAGACATCCCACGTTCGTGGATTAGAAGACTTAATATTGTGAAGATGGCAGTACTGCCTGAATTGATCTACATATTCCGTGCAATCCCTATCAGGAACCCAGTTGACTTCTATGTAGAAATTGACAGGCTAATAATTCTAAAATTCACACAGACTTCCAAGGAACCAAATAGCCAAAACAATCCTCCCGAAAAAGAACAAAATAGGAGGTCTCACACTCCATTTTCAAACTTTACTACCAACCAATGGAAATCAAAACAGATTGGTATTGGAATAAGAATAAACATATAGAACAATGAGATAGAATTGAAAATACAGTTGACCTTTAAACAACACAAGTTTGAACTGCATGAGTCCACTTATACAAGGATATTTTTCGGTTGATCCATGCAGTTTAATTGACCATGGTTCAGTTGACCATTGCAGTTCAAATACATTTTGTTCAGGAGTCAACTCTGCAGTTGGGAATCCAAATATATGGAGGGCCAACGGTGTGGGAGGCACCCCGAACCACCACATTTTTCAAGGGTCAGCTGTAAACCTATACATCTGTGGGCATCTGATTTTTTTGTTTAATTTTTCTTTATTGATTTTAGAGAGAGAGGAAGGGAGAGGGAGAAAAAGAGGAACTTCAGTGAGAGAGAACTTCAATCAGCTGCCTCCTGCCTATCCCCCGATGAGGATCAGGCCCACAACCTGGACATGTGCCTTGACCGTAAATTGAATCGGCGACCTTAACCACTGAGCCACATCAGCCGGGCAAGGTCATCTGATTTTTGACAAGGGTTCCAAAACCATTCAATGGGGAAATAGTAGTCTTTTAACAAATGGTGTTGGAACAACTGGATAGCCACGTGCAAAAGAATGACGTTGGATCCTTAGCTCTTACCATATACAAACATTAACTTAAAATTGATCAAAGAACTCAATGTAAGCTAAAACTAGGAAATGCTTAGAAGAGAACAGGTATACATTTTTATCTCAGATTTGGCAGTTAAATCTTGGTCATGACACTGAAAACATGAGCAACAACAAAAAATAAAAATATTTTGTGTTTCAAAAGATACCATCAAGAAAAGGTGAGAATATTTACAAATCATTTATTTGATAAGGGACATGTCTAGAATATGTAAAGAATTCTAACAACTCAAAAATAAGTAGAAAGCCCTGGCCAGTTTGGTTCAGTGGTTGAGCGTCGGCCTGAGTACCAGAGAGTCCCGGGTTCGGTTCTCACTAGGGGCATGTACCACACACACACAAAAAAAGGTAGAAAGAAATTAATAGGCAAAGGATGTAAGTAGACATTTCTCCAAGGCCAAATGGCCAATAACCTTATGAAAAGATGTTTGAAATCATTAGTCATCAGGAAAATGCAAATCAAAACAACAACGAGATACTACTTCTCACCCACTAGGATGGCTAGAATAAAAAAGTAACAACTAGTGTTGGCAAAGATGTGGAAAAATCTGAGCGTCATACGTTGCTGGTGGGAATGCAAAATGATGCGTTCACTTTGGAAAACAGTCTGACAGTTCCTGAAGCAATTAAACATAGAATTACCATGTGACCCAGCAGTTTCACAAGAAAGATGAAACCATGTCCTTGCAAAAACTGTACACAGATATTTATAGCAGCATTATTCATGATAGCCAAAGGTGGAAAAACCCAGGTATCCATCAACTGATATATAAACAAAATGTGGTATTCATATGACAGAGTATTATTTGGTCATAAAAAAGGAATGAAGTACTGACACATGCTACAACATGGATGGACTTTGAAAGCATCATGTTAGGTGAAAGAAGCCAGTCACAAAAGACCACATATTATGTGATTCCATTTATATGAAATGTCCAGAATAGGCAAATCTGTAGGGACAGAAGTAGATTAATAATGGTTGCTTAGGGTTTGGGGAGATAAGGGAACATTAGCTAAAGGGTTCAGGGTTTCTTTTCTTAAGGTGATGAGAATGTTCTAAAATTGACTGTGGTATTGGTTGCACCTATCTGTGAATATGCTAAAGTCAACTAAATTACAATTTTTTAAATGAATTATATGTATGTGAATTATGTTTCAATAAAGCTGTTTAAAAAAAAAAGAAACCTATATCTAAATATAACTTAGAAAAACTATAAAACTCCAAAGACAAAGATATTAAAAGCAAGTAGAAAAAATATAAGTCACTTCAAAAGAATGACAGTTGGAGATTTTCTTACCAGCAACAAAAGGCAATGGAAAAATCAGAGTTCTAAAGAAAATTACTATCACTCTAGCTAAACTGTCTTTCAAGAGTGAGAGTAAAATGCAGTGACTTTATAGGCATCTCCTTAAAGTTTAGGAGAAGATCCTGGGAAGTTTCTGACAAGCAGGGGCTGATAAATAATGTAGGATGCATTGCCACTACTTCCTTATGTGCAAAATGCTGTGGGCATTATCCTTATTTAGCATGCTTTGTTTATGTGTACTCAAACCTAAAAAAGATAGTAATAGCAGGTTTATTCCCACGTGACTTCTGCCCTAAATCCAGTTCCCTCTAAGTTCCTTTATTTTCCAGCCCTGTAGTTTCCTACTGCAGAAGTTTTCTGGAACCAGCCTTAGTAACTGAAGAAGCGCTCAGGTTCTTAGCCGCTGCTCCCTCACTTCCTCAGCCTTAGTGTGCGCTTCCATACAGTAGGGATGATACTTCTCCAAGGTATTGTGAGCTGTGGGATGATGTAAGCCTTTCCTGGCTAATGTTTATGTTTGCTACTTGGAATCTGGCCTGGAGGTGTGATAAACTGGTTTCAGGGATAATCTCCATTTCTGCCCTTAGTGTTTACTGTGGCTGATCCTGTCCGTAACTTCTGATTGCAGTGTATATGGATTTCGGAGTTCACATGAGAGGCCTTTGTAAGGTCTCACTGAGTGAATTAAAGCAGTCTTTTCCCCTTATTCTTCTACTAGCAATGTACAATGCCTGCAGGGACGTGGAGGCCCCCTCAAGTAATGACAAAGCCCTGGGACTTCTCTGTGGGAAGGACGCCGATGCCTGCAATGCCACCAACTGGATCGAGTACATGTTCAATAAGGACAACGGCCAGGCACCCTTCACCATCACACCCATTTTTTCAGGTAGACATGGACTCCCAAGGTTGGGGCACTTATGATGTTTTTTAAAGCCCAGGAACCTTACAATGCAACAGGGAGATAAATTCAGGTAACTAGCTACTGGAATGTCCCTCCAGTGAGAGAGGTAACTGGAGCATTTATCCTGCCCCTGGTTAATTTAGGGTCTGGGAGTGGGAAGGGAGGAGGAAGAATTGCCTTCAGGTATTGCTACATAATTGAAAAAGTGATGTTTTTTTAATTTAAAAAAATAAAAGGTCAAAAATTGTTCCAAAAGCCTTTTCAGAAGCTCTGCAATAGTATTAGACTAGCTCCTCAGTAGAAAGTGATGTACTCGAATCTCAGTGACAAAACCTATCCGTGCTCAGCGTTATTGAGGTAACTTACTGAGGTAACTTAAAATTTTATAGGACTAAAATATAATTTGATCGAACAGAACCTCCAGTCCTTTTTATTCTTCTAGTCATGTTATATATTTCAGCATGCTTATCATTGGATTTCAGTGTAATTTAATACAAACTTTGTAGTGTTTTTTTAATTGAGATATTCACTCAACACAACCTTCGCTACAGATCTCCCAGCCCATGGGATGGAGCCCATGAACAATGCCACCAAGGGCTGTGACGAGTCTGTGGATGACGTCACCGCGCCGTGCAGCTGCCAGGACTGCTCTGCGGTCTGTGGCCCCAAGCCCCAGCCACCGCCCCTTCCTGTTCCCTGGAGAATCTTAGGCCTGGATGCCATGTATGTCATCATGTGGATCACCTACATGGCATTTTTGCTCGTGTTTTTTGGAGCATTTTTTGCCGTGTGGTGCTATAGGTAAGCCATTTTATTTGCTCTTCAGAGTAAAAAGAGCAAAATTACCCAAGTTGCACATCCAGTTTTCACTTGGCAGACCTTGGTTAATTAGAACAGAAAACAATTATCTGCATTAAAACCATTCCATGAATTGCTTATGTCTTGCAAGTAGTAAACAATCAAGGCCTGTTCAGACATTGAAACATTTGAAGTTGGTTTCATTGATTTATTCAAAACGATGTGTGGATTAAAGCACCGTGCAGTGGCCACCCAATTTTTTTTTTTTTTAATCTTCACCTGAGAATATTTTTTCATTGATTTTTTTTTTTTTAATAGAGTGGGAAGGAGGGAGGGAGGGAGACACATCGTTGGTTACCTCCCACACAACCTTGACCCAGGCAGGGGATTGAACCCATGACTCTATGGTCCACGGGCCAATGCTCTAACTGCTAAGCCAGACCAGCCAGGGCAGCCACCCATTCTTTAACAGAAAGTCTTAGACAAATCTGATTCAAATCTATTTAAATGCAATACCATAGTCCCTTTAGATATTTGCATCTTGATTTAGGACAGTTTATTTTATTTAACTTTTTATTTTAAAATCATTTTAGCCCTGACTGGTTTGGTTCAGTGGTTAGAGTGTCGGCCCACAGTCCAGAAAGACCCGGGTTCACTTCCCGCTAAGGGCATGTACCTTGGTTGCAGTTTGTCCCTGGCCCCAGTTGGGGTTGTGCAGGAGGCAGCCACTCGATGTGTCCCTTTGATGTCGATGTTTCTCTCTCTTCCTCTCTTCCTCTCTCTCTCTTCCACTCTGTCTGAACAAAAATGGAAAAATGTCTTCAGGTGAGGATAAAAAATAAATAAAGAAAGAAAATAAAATCATTTTAGACAGCAAAAATGTACAAAAATAGTAGAAAGAGAGAGAGAGAGTGTGTATGTGTGTAATATATATAATATATATGTAATACGTGTGTGTGTGTGTGTGTATCCTTTATCCAGCTTCCCCTAATGTTATAATTTATATAACCCATAGTATATAATTATCAAAACCATGAAAATGACAGTGGTATAATATTATTAGCTAAATTTAAACTATATTAAAATTTCACCAGTTCTTCCGCTAATGCCTTTTTCTTTTTCAGGACCCCATATTGCATTCACTTACTGTGTTTTATTAGTTTCCTCTAATCTATGACAGGTAGTTCCTCAGTCTTTCCATTTCTTTTATGGCTTGACACTTTTTTTTTTTTTTTCAGATAGAGTGGGAGGGAGAGAGAGAGAGAGAGAGAAACATCAACATGAAAGGGACACATCGAGTGGCTGCCTGACACACAACCTAACCAGGGCTGGGGACAAACTGCAACTGAGGCACATGCCCCTAGCGGGAACCGAACCCTGGTCTCTCTGGACCACAGGCCGACACTCAAACCGCTGAGCCAAACTAGCCAGGGTGGCCTTGACACTTTTGATGAGGATTGGTCAGTTATTTTGTAGAATGTCCTTGATTCTGCTTTATCTGATGTTTTCTCACGATTAGGTTGAGGGTAAGGGTTTTTTACCAGGAATATCACAGAAGGGATGTTGCATCTTTCTCAGTGTATCCTGTCAGGGGCACATGGTGTCAGCACGTCTCATCACTGGTGATGTTTAACCTTGATCACTTGGTTAAGATGGTCTCTTCCAGGTTTCTCCACTGTAAAGTTACTATTTCTGTCTTCATAGTTGATAAATATCTTAGGGGAGATACATGGAGACTATGCTAACTCTTTGTGAACTTAGGGGAAGGAAGGTGACGATTAGGGAAGAAGAAAACAGGATGAGGAAGTAAACTTTTAAAGGTGTTATGGGAATGTCAGAACAGCCTTGTTATGTTGAAATTCACTGATACTACTTACATGCTTTTATTTTTCAGAAAACGGTATTTTGTCTCTGAGTACACCCCCATTGACAGCAATATAGCTTTCCCTATAAATGCCGGTGACAAAGGTAGGCACATTTGTACTTAAATAAAAGGGTTAGGATTATGTTGGTGTGGGTGTTCATTTCCTCAACAACTGTTCATGCACCTGTCTGGGAGAGGGATTGTGCTAGTGCTGAGGACACAGTTCTGATCAAGACAGGTCCTTGCCATTGCGCACTTACAATCTAGTCAGGGCGGCAGAGCGGAGTGAAGTAATAACAGCAGTAGAATAATGATGGATGGGATAGAGCTGTGGAGGTGCCAACTTAGCAGGCTGAGAGCAGGAAGAGCAGGAAAGGATGATGGGAACTGTTTTGGACAGAGAACTTTGCCTTTCAGAGGCTTGTGTGAGCATCAGTCCTGTGTGGGGAGGGGATGGGGATCACTGTGGCCAGGCAAGAAGGGTGGCTTCCATCAGGCAGGTAGCTGAGGGCTGAGGCTGGGGAGAGTCTTTGCACGTCCCCAGAGCAGGCAGGATCCCTGCTGGGTGGAGAAGTAGCTAATGCTTTCCCTGTTCCAACTTTCAGGAATGACTGGGCTCTTAACCTCCGCCTTCTCTTCCTCTCCCGCTCTTCCAGGAGAGGCACCCTGCTGCGACCCACTCGGTGCAGCATTTGAGGGCTGTTTGAGGCGGCTCTTCACACAGTGGGGCTCCTTCTGTGTCCGAAACCCCGGCTGTGTCATTTTCTTCTCCCTGGCCTTCATTGCTGCCTGTTCCTCAGGCCTGGTGTTTGTCCAAGTCACGACCAATCCAGTTGACCTCTGGTCAGCTCCCAGCAGCCAGGCACGCCTGGAAAAAGAGTACTTTGACACCCACTTTGGGCCTTTCTTCCGCACGGAGCAGCTCATCATCCGGGCCCCCCACACTGACATGCACATTTACCACCCGTACCCCTCAGGATCCGACGTGCCCTTTGGAGCTCCGCTCAACAAACAGATCTTGCACCAGGTAATCTACCCTTTGCAGAAATCAGTTCCAGGGAACACAGTGGTTGGCTGGCTTTCACATGCTGACCCTTTCTCCTGGATGAGTTTGGAGCTGAATGTAGTGGTGTATTTTTAACATCTTAATGGTAAAAGTGAAGTGAATTTCCAAGGAAAAGGGACAGGTGTTGAACCTAATGAAAAATCGGCTGTAGGCCACTTACATACTCACTGCATATGGTAGGTCTTGCTACTTTCTAGGAGTTGAGATGAGCATTTCTCTATTGAAGCAGAATGCATTTATAATTCACCTTAGGAACCTATTAATTTTTTTCCCCGTGGTAATTGAAAAGTAATACACTGGAACCCAAAGGAAGGAAGCCTCTGATGCTGTCCTAGGGACCAAGGGAGGAGCTGCTGGGTCACTGCTAATCTCCTGTAGAAGTGAAGGCATTGCTACTGTGTCTGGGGAGAGACGCTTTGGACGAGATCCATCCTGCTCTCCTCTGTCATGCTTGCCCTGGAGAAATGTATTCGTGAATGAACTGTATCCCACTTGTCTTTCAGTGAACAGTTGCATGGTTTTTCCTTTCAATGTTGGTCTTGCCCCCAGAAAGTCGGATATCTTGAGAAACATCAGAGTGGTCCCAAGACTTTAGTAGAATCTTCTCCCCACCGACGACTGCCTGTAGCTTTTTTCCAACTTGTTGCAGAAGGTGCACGGCAGTTTTTCACCTGCAGGAGTGTGTTCTCTACTAGAAAATACGAGAATGTACATAAATAATCATAGACTGGAGCAAGGCAGCAGGTGGTATGTTGTCAGTGAGGGGAGTGTCAGGAAGACAAGGTAAACTGGCCCAGTCTCCCCTCTGGCCCTGCTGGTCACTGCTGGAGAAGGGTGCAAGGCACACGTTCATGTGTTCTGCACTGAGATCTGGCCTGGTAATGGTGTCTCCTCCCTGTCTCTCTGGACACCTCATAACTGGGTCTCCATCCCAGGGAGCTATTCTCTAAGACTGGGCCTTTGGTGTCATCAGACACTTTACCATAGTGTGTGTGTTAGTCCTTTCCCCATCTCGGAAGGATTTCCCCCCAATAAACTTTATCTTCTTCTTTTTTTTTTTTAATCCTCACCCGAGGACATTTTTGCATTTTTTGTTCAGACAGAGCGGGAGGGAGAGAGAGGTAGAGAGAGAGAGAGAGAAACATCGACGTGAAGGGACACATCGAGTGGTTGCCACCCGCACGACCAACCAGGGCCGGGGACAAACTGCAACCGAGGTACGCGCCCTTAGCGGGAACCGAACCCGGGTCTCTCTGTACCGCAGGCCGATGCTCTAACCGCTGAGCCAAACCGGCCAGGGCAATAAGCTTTATCTTCTGACTCCTCAGGGCAATGATGGTGAGTCAAACTCAGAGAGAAATTTGATGTGTTTCTGGATTTGTATCTTCTTTCAGGTTCTTGACTTACAGACAGCTATCGAAAACATTACTACATCTTACAACAATGAGACCGTGACACTTCGAGACATCTGCTTGGCCCCTCTCTCACCGTATAACAAGAACTGCACCATCATGAGTGTGTTAAATTACTTCCAGAACAGCCACTCCGTTCTGGACCACGAAATAGGGGATGACTTCTTTGTGTATGCGGATTACCACACACACTTTCTGTACTGTGTACGGTACGTGGCAGGATGGTCACTCGTTCATCCCACCAATATTCGAGCACTTGCTGTTGCTACACACCATTGTAGGTACCAGAGACCCAGCAGTGAGCAAATAGAGCAGATGTTCCAACGGAGGGAGACAGACGATAAGCAAATAGATGCATGCTCTAATGCCAGGTAGAGATGGGAGCTATGGAGAAGATACAGCCAGGCAAGAAGACAGGGCAGTGGGTGGCCTGCCTTAGACGGAGTAGAGACCTGCTCAAAGGGAAAGGAAAGGCGTGTTCCAAGTAGACAGAGCAGCAAGTACAAAGGCACTGAGGTAGAGCTTTTGTGATGTGTAATCAAGAAACAGCAGGTACCTCTCAGCCTTTAACTCATCCCTGGATTGGTAACATGTAGTTTTATCTACCATACCAGTCCCTAAGTTTCTAGAGCTGGTTTTTTACAAAAATAAATACCTATGGTGCTTTTTCTTATCTTTCAAGTAGAAATGTATACCATAACATTGAATTGTTTTAAAAACGCAGTGTCCCTGTGCGGAGTCGGGGCAGGGTCGGTGTGCAGGTGCAGGTTGGGGGCAGGGTCGGTGTGCAGGTGCAGATTGGGGGCAGGGTCAGTGTGCAGGTGCAGATTGGGGGCAGGGTCGGTGTGCAGGTGCAGATTGGGGGCAGGGTCGGTGTGCAGGTGCAGATTGGGGGCAGGGTCGGTGTGCAGGTGCAGATTGGGGGCAGGGTCGGTGTGCAGGTGCAGATGGGGGGCGGGGGGAGCTGCTTCCTGGAGGAGGCGGAGAAGCTCTGCTTGGTGACCTGTGATGTCCTGCCCTTTGACCAGACCTGGAGACACTTGTTCAGCCAAACAGTCACCATAGCTGTTTCTTCATTGTGGAAAAGGATTCTTAGTTGAGCAGTGTACTCAGCTGACTTTGAGCACCCTGCTCAGCTAACCACATCGCCAGAGTTGAACGCACTGGCTTCTGATCTGGTTTGATGGCCTTGAGTTCTGTTTTTGTTATGAGAACATGACATTTTAGGTGGTTGAGCTGTGTATACTCTATTTCAAGGAGGTCACCTCTAAAAACAGCCCATAAAACAAAAAGGATATGCCCATATATCCTAAACCAGCATTTTCCACAAGGTGAAGGGTACAGGGGAGCCATGGACAGTTTGAAAAAAATTAATATTGTGTGATTTTTATATTTAAAGAAAAAAACAACTATTTACTTGCTGTTATACAAAATCAAACTCAACAAAATTTTGTGATGGAGGAGATGCACAAGACGTATCTAGGTGTCAGTAACTCCTGTCCTGTGCGTCAGGGCTCTGTGCTCGGTGTGTGGTTAGTTATGCTGTGTGTCTTCAGCTCTCACCCTCCAACTTTTTCTGGGCTTTTTCCCCCGAAGGGCCTGCCAGAATGGCAAACCTAACTGCCCAGATCTACTTCTTTCCCCTGTATTATGTAACAGCCTCAGCATCTACCAGTTACTTACTCAAACTTGAGGCTGTGTCCCTGAATTCTTCCTCATATTGTTTCTGTGATTTTAACCTCTGGACGAGCTCTCAGAACCATGATTCGGGGGCAGAGTCAGGCTGTGGGATGAAGGGACTCAGCTTCTGGCTGCCTGTAGCCTGTTTGCCCCAAGCAGGTGACCTGACCTGTGGGGCCTGATTCCACCATCCGTCGGCTGTCAAGGCTGCTGGTTCGGATTATATTCGAGAACTTCTCAGTGCCCAGCAGAGTCTGGCTCATGCTCTGTCCTGGAACGCTGGTTCCTTTCCGCTGATATCTGTCTTCACTGCACTCCTGGTTGTCCCTTGCCTGGGCCATTGCACAAACCTCCTGACTGGTCTCCCACTTCCCTTTTCTTTCCCACTTGCAGACCGTCTTCCACTTTGCCACCAGAGTCATCTGTAAAACAGCCCATGGCCCCTTTCCCCGAGGTCTCTATTCCCCAGTGTCTACAGGATGAAAAATCCCAACTGCTTAATATGGCATGTGATTGTCTGTCGCTTTCTAGGCCCAACTCCTCTCAGAAGTACCCCCGTGGGCACCCCATGCTCTAGACACAGGACTTCTTTTCTCAAATTGTCACCCTCTTGCGGTCTCCTCTCTCACATGCCTGTTCTCACTCCTCGCCCAGCCCCACCGCCAGTTGCAGTTGCTTGGAGCAGCCTCTCTTGTCCCTCCCAGGCAAGTTCTCCCTCAGCCTTAGAGACCTGGTTCTGTAGGTGTCTCCTCTTTTCGGTGACAGTTTTCCCCTGTATCAGTTGCTCCCTCTGTGTACCAGGCACCGAGTAACTAAGTCACCATGTTGTATTTGCCTGCCTCTCGCTCGGTGACTCCGAGCTTCCAAAGGCAAGTGCTAAACTGTATTGTGTTATTTACCTAAGGAACCTCAGGACCTATGTTATGCTGAGAATAGGTAAATGTTTTGTTGACTGAATGAATAATAGGATAGTCTGATTAACTGTCCGTTGTATAAACTTTAAGTCTCTGATGTCTGGAGGCTGGTTCTAACTGGGAGCTGTCTTCTGAACTTCTTGGCAGGGCTCCTGCCTCCCTGAACGATACCAGCCTGCTCCACGATCCCTGTCTGGGTACGTTCGGTGGGCCGGTGTTCCCGTGGCTCGTCCTAGGAGGCTATGACGGTAAGTGAGAGAAGCTTGCTTTTCCTCTTACATTACGTCGTCTTGGTTCTGTTATTAATAGTCAAATGGTAATCATACAGGTTTTATAAATTAAGCACTGTTATTAATTCCCTGTCTCTTAAATCCCAAATATAATAGTTCCTTTGGGTTTGGTTTTTTTCCTGGATTTAAAAAAAGTGGATTGTGTTAGCTGTTTTTTAGTTTACACTTTGGAAAGCTGTCGAAAGCTAAGGCCATGTCCCCAGAACAGTGTAATTGTGTACATCACATAATGTATTGCGCAGCTTAGGGAGCTCCTGAAACCCTAGAAGTTCATCTGTTCAGCCTCTGCTGAATGCATGGACCTCGGGCTAAGAACATCTGTAACAGGGAAGAGATACTGTGTAAGGTGGGGAAAGACAGTTGATGGGGTTTTTTCCTTCTAAACAAATTGGTTAAGACTTCAGACACTTTATGGTAGGAGGAGCAGTTGGCTTGCCCTCCGCTGGTTCCTGTAGCCCCGTGGAACAGGTCGCACTGGGACAGTGGGCACTGATTCAGGTGGCAGCACTGGCACCTCAAGCCTAATTACAGGCAGCTCAGAAGTTTTTCTCCACCAAATAAATGTTCTCCTTAGAAGTTGTGATCTGTAGTTACATGTCACTCTGCCTCATGTAATAAAACGCCATTGCTCACTGGTGGAGGGGAGGCGGCGGCCCCAACATGCAGTCAGGTCGTCACCACTGAATGTCGTCTCTGCCTCGTGCCTTCCACAGATCATTCCAGGGAGCCGGGAGCGAGAGGTAACAAGTGAAACTACTCAAGGACTAGAAGAAGTACAGGAGGAATTTTTTAGAATAATTTTTAAATGGAGAAGTCATTTCTAGATAAAACCTAGAAGCTACAAAAGGAAACACTGATGAATTTGGCTACATGAGAATTTTAAATTTCGGTGTGGAGAACATATATCATTAAGTTTTAAAAAAGTAAAAGCAACCAATTGGAGGAAAAAATTAGTATACATAACAGCATTTCTTTAATATATAAAGAGTTCTTGTGAAAAAAAGTAAAGGTCAACAACCCAGAAGAAAAGTGGGTAAGCCATATGAAAGTTAACATAAGAAGAAATACAAATGGCTTTTCATTATATAGGGAAAATGCTCAGCCTCACCTCTAATTAGTGAAATGCATCTCGCTTCAGTTTTTCTACCTAACAGATCAGCAGAAATCTAAGGGCCCAGTAAACTGGGGATAGGTGAGAGCATGGGAAAGATACTGTGTTGCTGGAAGTGTAAAGTGGTTACGAGAATATAAGCCCCAGGAAAAGGCAGGGATTGTCATCACTTTTGTTCACTGATGTATCCATGGTCCTTAAATCCTGCCTGGCATAAAAGTGGTCTCGGTAGATATTTTGTTGGATGAAAAACAGGGTAGCCTTTTTGGTGGGCAATTTGGGAGAATCTATCAAAATTAGAAATGCACAAACTTTTTGATTCAGTGATTATACTTGTAAGAATTGATTCTACAATTATGTATTTTGCACATTAAAAATAAAAGGTTATTCCTTGAGGTGATTGTGTTGATAATTTTAAAAATTGTGAAAATAACCATCAATGGGAGATTGATTAAATTATTCTAGAAAATATTTTAGCAGCAAAAAGAATAAGGAAGCTCTTTATGTACTAAAACGAAAGTCAGGGTACAAACTTAAAAACATATTGTGCAGAATAGTACGTTACTATTTGTATAAAGAGAAGGAAAGGGAAGAGGATACGTATTTGCTTGTGCATCCATGCGGTGTCACTGGGAAGAGTCACGGGCAGTCGCAGGATCGGGCGGTCTGAGAGGACAGAAAGGGCACTAAGGAAGGAGAGACACTTTCCACTCAACACCTTTCTGCTCTGTTTGAAATTTTTACCATGCACGTGCAATGTAATCAAAGAAAAAGGTACTCTTCCTGATGACTCGTGCCTACTTCAGACAGAGAATGCTTTTTATTCATTAACTGAATTACAGCGACACTATTTAAGTGAACTCCTTTTTTGTTCTTAGAGCACAGGAATAGTCTACAGCCCCCGTGAGAAATCAGCCACCTGGCTAGCTTGTCATTTGCCCCGTGTATTCATCTTATTTTCTGCATACTTGCAATCTTTTTGATGTCACATTTTTTTTCTTTCTAGATCAAAACTACAATAACGCCACAGCCCTTGTGATTACCTTTCTTGTCAACAATTACTATAATGAGACTGAGAAGCTCCAGAGGGCCCAGGCCTGGGAAAGAGAGTGAGTTGCTCACAGGGTCTGAACAGCCTGTCTTTGTTTTGTGGGAAGGTGTCCTCTAGCAGAGGCACCAGACTTCATTCAGCTAAACTAGCGAACATCAAATCTGAGCTCTGTCTTTTCACTTGCTACTAGTGATGCTAAGAAAAAAAATCTGTAAATCAGTTTGCCTATAAACATTGTTTGAACATGCAAAAGTTTATATGCAGAAATTTTTCTTGCATCATTTTATAACAGCCAAAACCAGGAACTTGCTGAATGTACATTATTAGGGATGAGTACAGTAGAAAGCTTTGCAGTCGTTAAAGATAGGTAACAAGTGGTTCAAGATGTACTAAATAAAAATTGCAGTTAGCATGTTTAAGTAAATATGTACTATACATGCTAGAAAAAATATCCAGGAAGTTCTTAACTGTATTTGCAGCCTCTAGAGCAACGGTTCTCAACCTGTGGGTCGCGACCCCTTTGGGGGTGGAACGACCCTTTCACAGGGGTTGCCTAAGACCATTGGAAAACATATTTCTGATGGCGAATCATAATAGTAGCAAAATTACAGTTATGTGGTAGCAACGAAAATAATTTTATAGTTGGCGGTCACCACAACATGAAGAACTTTATTAAAGGGTCGCGGCATTAGGACGGTTGAGAACACTGCTTCAGAGAACGGGCAAGCGCTGAGGAGGGCGGGCCTCCCAAACTGACCTGTAGTTTCAGCATAATTCCAGTGAAAAATCCCAGCAGGCTAATTCATAGGAATTAACAGGCAGATTGTATAATTCATATGGAAAACAAAAGAGGGAAATAACCAAATTAACTCTGAAAGAGAAGAACAAATTTTAGCACTTTCACTACCTGATTTCAGACTGGTAGAAAACTAAAGTAACCAAGGAAGTGTGTTGTTTGTGTCAGGATAGACAAACAGACCAAGGAAACAGGACAAACAGATCAGAAGCTGACGAACACGATGATTTTCAAAAAGGTGCAAAGGCAGTTTTATGGAAAAGGGCAGTCTTTTTTAAATAAAAAAAATTGTGTTTAAATAGGTTTTTAATTAATAAAAAAATTTTTAAGTTGGGAAGAAGCTCCTCACTTTGTTGTCACCGAGTTTAAAGTAAAAATATAAAATTCTTCTGACCCTTTAGGTTTATTAACTTTGTGAAAAACTACAACAATTCGAATCTCAGCATTTCTTTCACTGCTGAACGAAGTATCGAAGACGAACTAAACCGTGAAAGTGACAGTGATGTCTTCACCATTGTAATCAGCTATGCCGTCATGTTCCTGTACATCTCCATAGCCTTGGGCCACATCAAAAGCTGCAGCAGGCTTCTGGTAAGTGGGGTGCGTGTCTGTGTTGTTAGAAATGGCAGTGTACAGCGTGTGTCCTGTTCTTTGCCTCTACTTAACTCTGATTTATTATGTTCAAATCTGCCCTAAATTCCCCTGGGTTTTTTCAGTTGTATGTAACATTTTCTATTCCCTGCATCTGTTTCCCTCAGTTCCAATTTTTTGGTTTATCTTCAATTAAAATTTATTTCACATGGTTCAGTTCTTTTTCTTTTTCTTTCTTTTTTATCCTCACCCGAGGACATTTTTTCTTTTTTTGTTCAGATAGAGTGGGGTGGGAGATAGAGGGAGAGACAGAGAGAAACATCGACATGAAAGAGACACATCAAGTGGTTGCCACCTGCACGACCCAACCAGTGCTGGGGACGAACTGCAACCAAGGTACATGCCCTTAGCGGGAACCAAACCCCGGTCTCTCTGGACCAGAGCGGTCCAGTTTTTTTTCTGATTTGTCTACCTCCTCACCTAAGAATGGAAGCTTGTAAAATATGGTCTTTGGGAAGACCTAGACAATTTCTCATATTTTTTCTCAAACTGGGAACTGTACTTTTAGCTCCAGATTGGCTGTATCCATGTAACGAAGTAGAGATGAGGACCTTAGTAACAGGTAGAGCAGAAGACGCCCTAACGGACAATCGTGCCTTTGTTGCATCTCAGGTGGATTCTAAAATCTCCCTGGGCATCGCAGGTATCCTCATCGTGCTGAGCTCAGTGGCCTGCTCGCTGGGCATCTTCAGCTACGCTGGGATCCCCCTCACCCTCATTGTGATTGAAGTCATCCCATTCCTGGTGCTGGCTGTTGGGGTGGACAACATCTTCATTCTGGTCCAGACCTACCAGGTACATTTCACCGTCTCACAGAACTCGGCAGCTGACAGGGACTGAGCTCCATTCATGGCTGTTTGGCTCCATGCAGAGTATTTGCAAGGGTGGACAACAGGACACTTTGTTTCCTTTCCTCTGTGTTCTCTGGTGTCTGTCACTTGTTCTGGACATTTGGGGACCAAGAAGTTCACCCCTCTCATTGGTTGATGGAATAAAGTGAGAATTTGGTTTTAAATATGTGCAACGTACATGCAAAAAGGGCTAACACGCTGTGGAAAATACTTTGGGTGTGACTGCTATTAAATGATTCTCCACATAGTATAGAATAATGAAAGGTTTGTCAGCAGTGCCACTAAAAAGACCAAGGTCAACATAGGACCTGCTAATGTAGAAAATGGTCTCTATCAATTCTCACATGGTCACCTTGTCCTGTAGCCCTTGCCTGCGTGGAGACTCAGTGGCATGTCATTGAATGGTCCAGCCACCTGCAGCCTGCATTCCATGTATTTTCCTCATGAAACGACCCAGTCTTCTTTCCTTGAGCCTCTCACCTGTTACCTAGCACAGAAGGTCAGCAGTGCTCTGAATGAACTAACAGGACATGTTACAAGTCCCCCACCGAAGTTTGCATGCAATAAGTAGATGCCACTAATCAGTTTTCTTTCCTGTTAACACAGAGTAGCAAAGAGGTGGCGTGGTTATTGAGAAATTTTAATTTCTTGTGTTTAATTTTTTTTCTTAAGAGAGATGAACGTCTTCAAGGGGAAACCCTGGACCAGCAGCTGGGCAGGGTCCTCGGAGAAGTGGCTCCCAGCATGTTCCTGTCGTCCCTTTCAGAGGCAGTAGCGTTTTTCTTAGGTAATTGCTCTTTGAATTCTACCAGTCCCACAGTTTGCCAAGCCTGGGACTAGAAGGGGCTTGGGTATCTGAATATGCACCTCTGTGTTCTTCCTCTCTTAAGCTTTATTCTGTAATTGGGAAGTATCGGAGTGGACTGCAAGAACAATTGCTCGCGGTATCTTGGGTGTCATTTAGCAGTGTCTTCTTTCTCACATTGTTTCGGGACAGTGTTGACCTTTGGGGTCCAGATACCCGGGACTCCCCTGCCACTTCCCCTTTTCGGCACCCATGGCAAATGTCAATATTTGAAAATAGCATTTTTGAATGGCCACAGACTCCTTCTCAAAACAACACTCTAAGCAGCAGCTCCAAAATCCACAGCATTAGCTTGCAAGGTGTTTGGTGGTGTTCTCTTAGGTCGTCTTCCTCCGTTGTACACACAGCTCAGTGGGGAAGGGCCTTGTTGATGAGCAGAGGTTCTTGGATCTTGCCTCAGTAAAAGGAGCCGGAATAAGCTTGAACAAAAGCCAGCTCTTTTGTATTTCTTTCATGTGGAGAAATCAGCCAGTCTTACGAGTGGGACTGTTTCTGCCCCCATCTCTGGTGTGTAGTAAGAGAAAACTGACTACATCCTTTGAAGAATCACGCAGCAAGTCCAGAGAAGACACACAATCCAAACAGAAATTCCTACACAGGCCACCAGGTCATCACAGGGCGGTTGTAGGAACATCATAGGTGGTAGCCTTTCAACACAGACACACTGTTAGCACATTAGTTTTCATTTCTGTGAAGCAGTGTGGTTTGAAGCCCATGGCCTTACAGTTCCTTTTAACGGGTGCAGGTGCAAACCAGTTATTCCCTCTTTTTGCCTCTGTTGTAAGAAAAACAGGGCAAGTGTGTTGATAATAGCAGCTGACAGTGTCTCAGGGTGGAGCGGCTGGGAGAACATTGGGAGCAGGGACTGCGACAGGGGTCCTGACCCAAAGAGGCAGTCCTGTGTCGCAAGGCCAGTGCTGCTAGATCCGGTTGTTTTTGCTCAAGCAACACTGTGAATCAGAATCTCATTGTTAAATGTTGGCTCTTTATTTTATTTTAAAAACTATTTTTAAATTTTAAAATGGATTTGTAGAGTGTGGGCCAAGCAGGCTGCGTCTGGCCCACGAGCCACCCGTCTCAGTGGCCGCCTTCGCCGGCGCGTTTGACTCGGAGCACCCGCATTTGGTCGTAGACACTGGGAGGCTGATGTTGATATAATAGCAGATGGAAAATGCTGCTCCTCTCTCACAGTGAAGCAGAGGGTACTCTAAGACATGGCCTGTATTAATGGTTCCCAAATTTTAATGTGCATAAACTTGCCCAGAGAGCCTGTTGAATACACGAGAATTGGGTTGAATCCCCCCTGTCTTGATTAAGTAAGATGGGGCCAGGCCCAGGAACCTACTTGTTTTACTCACCAAGTGGTTCTGATGCTAACACCATTTGAACAACACTGGGCTTGCAGGCTCTTCTCCAGCTCGGGCGTGACCCCCACAGATGTTCGCAGCATCCTGGGGGGGGGGGGGGCAGTCTTCTCACGGTTTTGGCCTGTCCTGGTCCTTGTGCTCGAATGGACACGAGGACATAAGACTTGCGGAGCCTCTGCGGTGAGGGGACGTGATGGCCGCTCTCCTCTCCCTGCAGGAGCCCTGTCAGTGATGCCCGCCGTTCACACTTTCTCTCTGTTTGCGGGGATGGCGGTCCTCATCGACTTCCTGCTTCAGATTACCTGTTTCGTGAGTCTCTTGGGGTTAGACATCAAGCGTCAAGAGGTGAGTTGTTATCAGGATTGCAGCCTATTTGAGTCTAGAGTCTAGCTGAAGCAGCAGGAGGGCATGACCTTTGTTCCTGTGTGTCCCCTCAGAAAAACCGACTGGACATCCTCTGCTGTATCAGAGTTCCCGACGATGGAGCTGGCGGCCAGACCTCAGGGAGCTTCTTGTTCCGCTTCTTCAAGAACTCCTATTCTCCACTTCTGCTGAAGGACTGGATGCGGCCGATCGTGGTGAGAGCTGGTCTGTGGTGCTTGTTTCCTCCCCGGCCCAGACTTGGCCACCTGCCTTCTAAGAATCATGTCGCTCAGGGAGGACATTCTAACCACTGTTAGCTGTGTATGCAAAAACATAAAAGCAGCTACATGCAAATGTATAGAAAATCTTTTTTAGCTAGTTTTTTGCAGTTGGTATATAAGCAAGAGTTTTTAAGTTTTTACTTTGAAATAATTAGATTCATAGAAAGTTGCAAAGTATAGAGAGGCCCCGGGTACCCTTTGCCCAGTTTCCTCCTGTGGTCTTATGGAATTGTAGTTCAATATCAAAACCTGGGATTTATTGGCACAATGTGTGGGTCTAGTTCTGTGTCATTTTACCCCATGTGAAGAGTCACACGACCGCCACTGCGGTGGAGATCTTTCTGCAGAGCGGTGACCCCCCCCACACACACACCACCCCAATCCCTGGTCCACCCCAATCCCTGGTCCTCAGCGCCAGGCCGGAGCTGTTCCCAGTGTATGTGCTGATGTAGCCAACAGTGGTCATGTATCACTTCTCTGCTGAAAGAACATATGTTCGTTTCTAGTGATAGTAAAAGTAAGAGCAACATGTAACATTTATTGAGCACATAATATCAGGTACTGTGCTAAAATCTAGATTATTCTTAATTTAATTAAGAATAATTTTTCTCATTTAATCCACAAAACTGTCTGATATTAGAAGTCATCTTTTTCCTGATTTATTGATGAGGAAATGTAGACTGGGAGAGGTTAAGTGGCTTCCCCGGGGTCACTCAGCTCGTGTGTGAAGGAGCCAGCATTTGAACCTGGGTAGTTTAACTCTGTATACTCTGATCTCAGCCCCTAGTCCACACTCCTGTTTACTTGGTGTGTCGTCTTACTTTGCTTTTCAGTTTAGAAGTCTTTTTTATGTGTGTACTTAAGATTTTATTTATGCTTTTCAGCTCATTATAATTAAGCAGTTGCTGTCTTGTGACTCACTTTCATTCTAGATAGCAGTATTTGTGGGTGTTCTGTCATTCAGCATTGCGGTCCTGAACAAAGTAGAAATTGGATTGGATCAGTCTCTTTCAATGCCAGAAGTAAGATGCTTTTTTTGTTTGTTTAATATGTTTTATTGATTTTTTTAGAGAGTTAGGGAGAGGGAGAGAGAGATAGAAACATTGATGAGAGAGAAACATTGATCAGCTGCCTCCTGCACGCCCCCCACTGGGGATCGAGCCTGCGACCCGGGCACGTGTGCCAACGGGGAATCAAACTGGGACCTCTTGGTGCACGGGTTGACGCTCAGCCACTGAGCCACACCAACTGGGCGTATGATACTTTTTAAATTTTAACTTATTTAGCCAATGGTGAATACATTTTTGAAAACTTGACTGCAGATATTCCAAGTTAATGCCTGCTTGTGAAGGCAAGTGCTGGCAGGTTCTGCCCTGTGGTAAGAACTGCCACAAAGCTCTGCACCGTGGGCCTGGCATTCTGACATCAGCACTCTGTGGCACAGCCACGGCGCAGGCAGCCAGTCTTTACCTTGTGAGGTGCCCTCCTGATGTTGGGAGCAGGTGGGGGAGCGCCCTGGGCCCCAGGAAGGTGGAGAGTGGGAACTGACTGTGCAGGGAATCCTGGGTCTGGGCCTGCAGCCTCTTGGCCCGGAGCCTCCCAGTGCCTCCTGGTTCTGTCAGTCTCACTGAGACACCTCAGAACGTTCACACTGTCCTATTGTTGGCTCTTCTTTCAGGACTCCTACGTGATGGATTATTTCAAGTCCCTCAGTCAGTACCTGCACGCAGGCCCGCCTGTCTACTTCGTGCTGGAGGAGGGGCACGACTATACTTCCCTGAAGGGGCAGAACATGGTGTGCGGGGGCATGGGCTGCAACAACGACTCCCTGGTGCAGCAGATATTCACTGCGGCCGAGCTGGACAACTAGTCAGTACCCCGTCTTCCTGCACTGCCGGCTCTTGGCCAGAGGGACCCCGGCCTGAAATTTCTCACTGAAAATAGACTTTCTTAGAAAATTTGTTTTTTAGAATGTATGCTGAGTCTAGCTTTACCTGAGCGCACACAACGTTTGAAAGGCTAATTTACCACCTGATTCTTCGAGGGTTTTTCCATGAAGTGCTAATGTAATTTGTCTTTGACTAAGTAGCAGCATAAAAGCTAGAAAGGAAGTAAGAATTCAAGAAAAAGAACTGGAACTAAAGACTTCCTCCTCGTGGGACAAGTAATCGTGTTTTCTCCTTTCCTCTAGTACCCGAATAGGCTTTGCTCCCTCGTCCTGGATTGACGACTACTTCGACTGGATTAAGCCGCAGTCGTCTTGCTGTAGAGTCTACAACAGCACCGAGCAGTTCTGCAACGCTTCAGGTACTTTCTCCTCCTTTTCCAAGTCTTTCCTCTATCTGATAACTTGTAACATAATGTAAAAATCATTTGCCGTTCACCTCCATTTATACCTGGTTGTTTGCCAGCCTGGGTCTCACCCCGTGTTATCGTCCCGTCCTCATTCACTCTGAGAGTCGCCTCATTCCACCTCCGCCCCCCGCGGGCTGCAGGCGAACAAGGCCTGAGTCAGGGACTCTGGTTTTCAGAGTTTTGGGGCTTCTCATCTTATCCCCACAACACCCATTGCCTGTTGATTGGTATCTGGCCAGAGCTTCTCATAAGTGTGCTTTTTTATCACTGTTGCCCTACATTTTCGCAAGAGTGTTGAGTTTGTGCTCGAGTTTTCTTGATGAAAACATCAAAGCTCTGAGCTCTGGTGACGCCCGCAGAGGCCGTCCTTCCGGCAGGAAAGCTGCTGGGGGAGGCGTTTACAGCCTCACATGGAGGTGGTGTCCAGTGCGTGAGTCCGGAGAGCGCTTTGAAGCTTTTGGATAAGGAAAAAGAATTGGCCTCATTTCTTTAACAGTATTTTTAAATGTTTTAAAGTAAAATCTGGCCACCCATTCTTTTCTCCTTGTCTCCTCCCGCCATGTTTCTGCCAGTGGTCGACCCTGCCTGTGTCCGCTGCAGGCCTCTGACTCCAGAGGGCAAACAGAGACCTCAGGGTGAAGACTTCATGAGATTCCTGCCCATGTTCCTTTCTGATAACCCGAACCCCAAATGTGGCAAAGGGTAAGTGCCACTGAGCCCTTCAGTACGCACCTGCTTGTATTTGCACTGGAAACAAGGACAAGGCTGGGGTGTAGGAACAGCTGTGTGGGAGAGGCCTTTTCCACCCCCTCCTCACCCTTCCTGAGGCTTCTGGGACAGCAAAGGAACCTCTAAAACACCTGTAAAGAAAACTGCATTTCCACCTGATTTCATCCTAGCTTGAGCATTCATTTCGTAGGCTTCTCCCTGCGTCTGGCCCTCGCTGTTACTAGTGGGGCCGGGGGAGGAGGAACGTGTGGCATGTTAGAGTGTGAAGTGGTCTGTTCAGCCGTGTCCATGCGCATGTGGGACAGCATCTCTGCTTGGGCGATGTCATCCTGGATTAGGTTTAGGTTGTTTTGGCCCCACTGAGCTGCTCACCAGCCTGTCCTTCCAGCCAGGCAGCCAAGATAGGAATCACTAAGGTGGGTGATTTGGAAACGTTCAGGGAGGAAGATGAGTATCCACATAGATGCCAGGTAAACCCTGGACATCCCTGGTTTTTCATAAGAATATATAATTTGAGCCCTGGCCAGTTTGGCTCAGCAGTTAGAGCGTCGGCCTGTGGTCCAGAGAGACCCAGGTTCGGTTCCTGCTAAGGGCATGTACCTTGGTTGCAGTTTGTCCCCGGCCCTGGTTGGTCGGGTGGGTGGCAGCCACTTGATGTGTCCCTTTCACGTCGATGTTTTTCTCTCTTTCTCTCTCTTCCTCTCTCCCCCTTCCACTCTATCTGAACAAAAAATGGAAAAATGTCGCCCTGGCCTGTTTGGCTCAGCGATTAGAGCATCGGCCTGTGGTCCGGAGGGACCCGGGTTTGGTTCCCGCTAAGGGCACGTACCTCGGTTGCAGTTTGTCCCCAGCCCTGGTTGGTTGTGCGGGTGGCGACCACTCGATGTGTCCCTTTCACATCGATGTTTCTCTCTCTCTCTCCCTCCCGCTCTATCTGAACAAAAAATGGAAAAATGTCCTCGGGTGAGGATGATTAAAAAAGAAAAAGAAAGAAAAATGTCCTCGGGTGAGGATAAAAAAAAAGAATATATAATTTGACCTGAGTCCCATCATGCATTAGTCACGTATATCTGTCTGTGTTTTTTTTTTTTTTTTTTTTTTTTTTTTTTTTTTTTTTTTTTTTTTTTTTTTTTTTTATCCTCACCCGAGGATATTTTTCCATTTTTTGCACAGATAGAGTGGGAGGGAGAGAGAGGAAGGGAGAGAGAGAGAGAGAGAAACATCGATGTGAAGGGACACATCGAGTGGCCGCCACCCGCACGACCGACCAGGGCCGGGGACAAACTGCAACCGAAGTACGTGCCCTTAGCGGGAACCGAACCCGGGTCTCTCCGGACCACAGGCCGACGCTCTAACCGCTGAGCCAAACTGGCCAGGGCTCTGTCTGTGTTTTGAGACCTGTACTAGGCACTGTGGGAATAAAATAAAATAGAAATGAATCTTGCATCTTGGTCTATTTGCAGAACGAATAAAACATAAAACAAGTCCAAGTGAATTCAGCTTTTATGAAGCAATAGCCACCACTTTGAGGAGCCTCCAATGTGCCAGTATGATGCCAGGCACCTGACGATATTAGTTCACTAACTCCTCACGGCCTGGGAGTAGGTGGTGGTACACCTGTCTGTAGAAGACACTGCAGCCCGAATGCAGTAACCTTGCCAAGGGTTCCAGGGCCTACACATGCCTGAGGCCTATCCGGAGGCCCATCTCACAGCTGTCTGTCTCTAGGGCCTTGTCCTTCCCCACTTCCTGGCAAACACTTTGCTGAGCAAACTCTGCATCAAAACACATGGATTGGGAGCAGAGCTAGATACAGAAACAGTAGCAGCTATGCACCAATGAAACCAACGGCAGTAAAGAAAAGCCAGTGTGGGAGAGAATAAGCCGAAACCTTTGTCGGTCCCTTTCAGAGGGCCTTTCCCATGGCTGAAGTCTATCTGAGCCGGGTCAGATGATTTCACTTAGCCTTGACTGCTCAGATGCTGTGGGTTTTTGCAAAGTGTGGTCATTCTGACACCACTGAGTCTTCTCTCAGGGGACATGCTGCTTATGGGTCGGCAGTTAACATCCTTGGCAATGGCACGGGTGTTGGAGCCACACACTTCATGACCTACCACACCGTGCTCCAGACCTCCGCCGACTTTATTGACGCCATGAAGAAGGCCCGCCTCATTGCTGATAACATCACCAACACCATGAGCCAGGAAGGCAGTAATTATCGTGTGTTCCCATACAGGTAAGTGTGAATTGTACAAATGAGAGTGTCTTAGGGAAGGGCCCACACCCTGGGGCTCTGGGTCGGATGCTGGTGCTCGGCTTCTGTTCCGACACCTCCTCCATCGTGGGCACTCACTGAGGTCTGAGTGGTCTCTGGGCCGGAGCTCACACTCTGAAAGAGACTGCAAAATAGCACCCAGGGGTGGCAAGCGGGGTGCCTGAAACCAGGCTTCACAGAGGCGGCCAAGTGGACTTTCCTGGACAGGAACTGATGAGTGTCCCTGACTGCTGCCCTTATGGAGATTTTTTTTTTTTTGCTTATTGGGTTTTTTTCTTTATTAAAAAATTATATATGGAATACTGAATTTGGAAAATATAGAAAAGTAGAAGAAATAAGTGGGGTTTGTTTTCTTCTCACCTGTATGATCTCACTTACAGGAGTGCTGACTCCTTCTGGCAGGGGGACGGCCTGTTTTCCGTGGGAGGGGTTCTCAGGGCGGGTGTCCTAACCCTGGGGCACAGCTCCTTAGCCTTGTAGACAAAGTGCTCCGGCCCTGCACAGGTAATTCTCAGGATAGATCAGGACATTTTTCAAAATACCATGGAATATTCCTTGTAAATGCCTATAAAGTAGGATAGATTAGGATTGTGAACAAAAACTTTATATAAAATACACATATTGGATCGTTATTAGGCCCTCCTTTGGGTATCAGTGGTTAGTCGCGGGTCCAGTCAAATTACTGTAGATGCGTCCTGCGGAAGTACCTTCTCAGTCTGCAGTAGAGGCAGCATGAGGACGCTTCCAGAGTGAGAACAAGCTGTAACGGAACCCTCTCCCCTCCTAGTGTGTTCTATGTCTTCTACGAACAGTACCTGACCATTATTGACGACACGGTCTTCAACCTCTGCGTGTCCCTGGGAGCCATCTTTTTGGTGACCGTGGTTCTCCTGGGCTGTGAACTGTGGTCTGCAGTGATCATGTGTGTCACCATTGCCATGATCTTGGTCAACATGTTTGGCGTCATGTGGCTGTGGGGCATCAGTCTGAATGCGGTTTCCCTGGTCAACTTGGTCATGGTGAGTCCCGGCCCCTAACATGACTTGTTTCTTGGGGTAAAAGACTAAGTCCAGTCTTGCCCTTCGTCCACATGGAGAGCTGGGACTGAGGGCTAGATGGAATTGGGACGGGGTGTTACTATGACAGTGAAACTGGGATTTCATGGTCTAACTTGGTTATTCTATTATTCTGTAGGGTTTGCAAAAAGTATTTAGCCTAATGACAGCAAGATGTTCACTTTTTATTTAGAAAATTGCCCCATCCCTAATGGGATTCTCTGACCAATACCTTTTGGTTCCCATGCAGTTGCCAGATGCTTTTTCATAGTTAGTCTTGAAGCCATGAGCATTCAAGAAATAGAAACAGTACATCTGTACTGCAGATCCAACCACTGCTGCAGGTGGAGTGGCCCTGAGGCTCAACTCAAGAAGTGATGGCAGTGTGCTGGGGTAACCCGTGGGGGGTGGGCCGACCCTAGGAGGCTCCGCCACTTCCCAGAAAAGGCAGATCTGCTCCTAAGCCGGAGCGCTGGGCGCTGCGCAGAGGGTTCCACAGGTTCCTCGCTGCATGTAAGTTGGTGTGATGGGGCTTTACAGTATCTGTCAAAGAGGGCGCTTTCAGGGCGCCTCTCCCGCCACAGGGGAACGGGTGGCTGTGTACGGTCTCGATGAGAAGAGGCCGGCCCTGAAGGAAGCCCTGTCTTTCAGAGCTGTGGCATCTCCGTGGAGTTCTGCAGCCACATAACGAGAGCGTTCACAGTGAGTGCGAAGGGGAGCCGCGTGGAGCGGGCAGAAGACGCGCTCGCCCACATGGGCAGTTCTGTAAGTAACGGCAGAAACCTCAGGTGAAGTGACTGGCTCAGTGAGTGTTTCTCAGAAAGAACTTTGAACTTCAGCAGGAAAACAGAATTTGTAGCCTTTGTTTAGCAGCAGCTCCTAAGGATGACAGGATTTCAGGCAATCCATGACATAGTCATACCCTGAAATTCTTGAGACCTGTTCCTGCTGGTAAATCCTTGTGTAGGCAGCAATGAGGCCGAGGCAGGAAGAACAGAAACACTGGGTTTGAGCAGGAGCCAGAAGCCTTTTCATTTGAAACACAGGCAGCTGTGTGCTGGAAAAGCAAGAGCCCAGCGAGCAATTTGTAGTTGATGTTTAGCAAATCTCCCTGGTTCAACTCTATATCCTGGTTTAGCCAATCAACCAGTTACTTTACCATTGAAGAAATACTGCCACAGAGTAACACAAACCTTGTTTGATAACAATTTTATACTTAAAATAGTTTTCACCTGAGAATGTAAAGAAATGTATGATCTCATTTTAGAGACAGATGGTGTCTGTGCAGAATACATAACTTTCCCCATTGTAATACAATTTGTTGTTTCAGGCTCATAAGCACAAATAAAACAATTTTAAGTAGAACACTGCTCCTTAGCAGTAACTCTGAATGCTCAGGTTGTCCCGTGACTTTTGACCTTGACTATTAAGAAATCCCTATATTAGGAAGTGTTCAATTATAATAGGTTGATTAAGGCAGTTTCTAACACCATCTCTCTTTTAGGTATTCAGTGGAATCACACTTACAAAATTTGGAGGGATTGTGGTGTTGGCCTTTGCCAAATCTCAGATTTTCCAGATATTTTACTTCAGGATGTATTTAGCTATGGTCTTACTGGGAGCCACTCATGGATTGATCTTCCTTCCTGTCTTACTCAGTTATATAGGTAAGAAGTGGGATGGGGAAGCATGTTACTGAAGGAGAATTAATATCTTGAAGCATTTTTTGAAGTATTTGAACTTGTACTAATTGGTCATTTGATAAATAGTGCTAAGTAAAAAGATTTCTGTGAGAAAATGTCTTATCCAGGGGCTTCATGATTGTCCAAACCACTTCTTAGTAAACTAACACTTTCTGGACGGCTGACTTGTCTGCTGAACCAGGCCCTGAAGTCCAACTGTGAACAGGTTTGAACATCAGGGGCCCAGACAGCTAGCTCCTCCCTGTCACTGAGGGACGAGTGCCCTTGAGCGACTGGACAGCCAGTCACAACCCAGCAGTGCTGTCGTTATGCCCCCAGCTCACTGTTCCAGCAAACACTGCCCCCGCTGCCCACCTCTTAGTTTGAGTCCATCCTTGTGATCTTCTTTGGCTTCCGTAACAACGTATGGTCAGAAGAACAATGTGAATTTGGTTGATATATAGCTTTGTAATTAAGTTGAAGCACTGAAATAGACTGAGAAAATGAGGGCTTTAGTTGTTCTTTATTTTAATTTTAATGTCTGGGAGATAGAAAGGGTAATTCTGTTGGTATACAAAATACTCCCCCTCTCCTGAAGAAATGCTACAAGTTACTCTTTTTATCCTTCACAGGACCATCAATAAATAAAGCCAAAAGTCTGGCCACTCAAGAGCGATATAAAGGCACAGAGAGAGAACACCTCCTAAATTTCTAACCCCCTTACAGGTTTGGGGACTTTGAACTGTGTCTGTGGGTCGGTCAGTTCACCTATGGACAGTAACTGCATTGTCAAGGCAAAGTTGAACCTGGGGATCTAACAGCAGCAGCTTTGCCCATAGCGCTTGTAAACTCAGGAATGCACATCTGGCTGGTCAAGCAGTATTACTAACCTGAGGGAGACCCAGGACCCAGCAGCGTCTTCCAGTTCTCCAAGAATGAAGCCTGGTTCTTCAACAAGTGGAAGGTCAACACTGACACTTGAGTGCCAATCAATGCAATGCTGCTCCTTTTTTTAGGAGGAAGCCATCACACAAATTCTCGACCATATTTTTAGTGACATTTGAGGATGTTGCAGGTACACTTTATTACATTTTGTAGTTTAAAGAGCTTTATTAATGCAATAAATTAACTTTATACACATTTTTATATATTAAAAAAAAAACTAGTGAGGGATTTCAGAATGTTGTAGGCTTCATTAGAGCTTGGTCTCCAAAAACTTGTTTGAAAAAAGCAACATGTTCTTCACAGTGTTCTCCTAAAGGGCACAAGAAGAGAAAACGAGAGAATGAACACTGCAGCTCAAAGATGTGTATACTGGGGTTTAACTTATTTTCTTCCATAAAATACTTGGTTTTCCTAAGCTTCTGAATTGTCCTTTCTATTTTCATGCCATTGGGACACTGGTCAGGGACCTTCACAACCCCTAGCAAACCACCGTCTGCCCTGGGACACAAGCAGGGAAGCTAAGCTGTCGTGGCACTGAGTGCCGTCTGACACTACACTGAGCTAGTAAAGGTTGCTAGACCAGAAATCAAGTTGCATGTTCGTTCCCCACCGTAGATTTCATAACTTGGGTCATAAGAGTGATTTGCCAATGCTTCCTACATAAACCTGAAACATTAACATGCCCCAGGCCATTTTAAACCCTTAGCCACCAGTCCCTGTCCCGTTCCTGATTCGGGCATTCCGGGGGCCGCTGTGAGACACGAGCTGTGCTCAGACTGCCTGAATTGAGCCCTGGATATGCCTCTTCCCGAAACACTTCAAGCTTGATTCGGCACCATCAGCACACCGAGTTCATTCCTACTAACAGCGGGCTAAGGGTTATGCAGGCTGTTATGACTCTCTAAAAAAAGAACTTAAGATTTCTCCTGACAGCTTCTCACCCACCAGCTGCCAGTGTCCTGTTGCTACTGGGTCTGTGGTCGCCCCACCTCTTCTCGCCACTGCCGCCTTCTCACCTGGTGTGAAATTAGGTTTCCCTCGCAAACGCTGGTTTCGCTGTTCAAAAAACCGGAATATAGTATAGAAAAGCATGTTGTCTTCAGTCTGCTTCGCAGCATCTAAAAATTTCCGTGCAGAAATGTTGTCATGGCCGCCAATGCCCCGGATAAACCTCAAGGCAGCTAATACTTGGTGTTTGGAAAGAAGAACTTCTACTATTTCATCATTTGCTGTTGAAAGTCGCTAGAAAGAGACAAGTCCGTGTAAACGCAAGCTGCAGGAACAGACACGGTGATGCGATTGGAAACTAGGATGTAACTCACCTTCAGCATATCCAGAGACAGCTGATGAGCAGGAGGGTAAAAACTTTCTAGGGACAACAGCAGACAAGCCTGAAAGACAGATGTTCAAACTATTCAGCGTAAGATGTTGGAGGGTTCAACTGTCTAATCACAGAAGTAAAAATCTGGCCCTGGCTGGTTTGGCTCAGCAGTTAGAGCATCGGCCCTTGGACCAAAGAGTCTCGGGTTCGATTCTGGTCAAGGGCACGTATCTCCGTTGCAGTTTGGTCCCCGGCCCTGGTAGGGGTCATGTGGGAGGCAACCAGTCTATCTGTCCCTCTCACATCGATGTTTCTCTCCCCCTCTCTTTCCCTCCCTCCCACTCTATCTGAAGATAAATAGAAAAATATCCTCAGGTGAGAATTAATAAAACAAAAGTAAAAATCTGGTGACACATACCAAAGGCTTTGAGTCACTGAGGACATGATACTGCAAGAACTGGTGTAGCATATAAAAGAGGTTGTGCTGGACAAGCGTCTTGATGACAAGTTCGTGCAAGTAATGCTGAGGACAAACAGAAGGAAAGACATTTCCAAACCACTCAACTACAACAGACTGGAGGGGAGGTTGTCAAGGACTGCAGCTGTTCTAACTGATGAGTACAAGTTTCCATTCTTTTTTTTTTTATCCTCACCCGAGGACATTTTTCCATTTTTTGTTCAGATAGAGTGGGAGGGGGAGAGAGGAAGAGAGAGAAACATCGATGTGAAAGGGACACATTGAGTTGCTGCTACCTGCACGACCAACCAGGGCTGGGGACAAACTGCAACCGAGGTACGTGTCCTTAGCGGGAACTGAACCCGGGTCTCTCTGGACCACAGGCCAATACTCTAACCGCTGAGCCAAACTGGCCAGGGCACAAGTTTCCATTCTTAAGAGAAGTGGGTCAGCGTGCAGGTAAAAGAACCCAACTTGATATGATATGACTTACTCCAAGAACAACATGGTATGTCAGGAAATTGCTCAGAACTCTTAAGTCAGGAAGACAGACCCTTTAGCATATAAAGACTGTCATCTTTAGGATACTGACAGTGCTGTTATTTTTTCCACTATTCCCTGCTCTAACTTGGGACCACAGTGATGACTGGAAGGTACCTGTACAGGAATCTGAAACTGGTTAAGAGAGCGAATATATTCCATCAGTACGGCTATCACAAACTTATGAGGCATTGCCTATGGAAAAACAGAGATGGTCTTAGAAACACCAAAGAGTTGCAAAGGAGCTTACAATTCTGTTCCCTCCCCCCCTTTTTTCCACGTTAAACTGGCCTAGTGCTGTTTAGCTGGTTTTGTTCAAATCCCTCTAGAACCTCCCCCATCAATGATCATGTTTAGGCTTGAGTATTAGAAGCCAAACATCAGCACTAGGTCCTCACCCAAAATAATCAATTACTCGAATCACATTACGAGTTCTGGTTTTCCTCCGCTCCCTTCAAATGATCAGTTTTGAGACTCCTGTGTCCAGAAGCAGCTGATGAGCTGTGACTTACCTTCTTTTCCGTGAACGGCGACAAGACGTGGGTGTACATGTCGGACTGGTCGATCACAGCCTGGGTCCGCACTGGCCTTCTGAGCAGTGGACTGCTCCGGCTTTGTCCTGCTTCTACCGCCTAAGCAATAAATTACAAATGTGAACGTCACCCTCTTCTAGGTAATGGTGTGTTTGCAGTTAATCCAGAAAGACTGAATTTCTACGTGCTGTGAACCTCAAATCTGAGCAGGGGTGACACTTCCTTCCTAGGCTCTCTGGGGCGGAGTCTAGAAATAGAAAAGCTAGAGTTGGTCATCTTGAAAAGAACCACTGTTCACAGTGGGTGGAACTACAAAAGCATAAGTCATAGTTTTAAGGGACATCATCCTGCTTTTAACCTTAAAAACAACTCCTTAATTGTCTTAATCACAGACTACCTGGCCTTTGTTACCTAATAAAAATGAAATGGCTTACTGCATCTTTGTTTTATGAAGCCCTGATCTTAAAATAAGTAAACACTTGTATAATCTGTATCTAGATTTTTAAATGGTAAGTAAGGCTCTCAAATACTATTGAATAGGAAAGCTCAGAAAAGATCTGACTACTTCACCTAACTTCCAAAGCAGCCGAGATCAGTGCAGACTCTGCAGGAGCTGTGGGGGCGGCCTGAAGACCCACATTTCTGAAACACCCACATTCCAGATGGAGCACACTTCACTAGCAAGAGCCCAGGAGCCACAGAGCAGGGACACACAGAAACTGCCCCTGGGGTCAGACAACTGATACCACAGCCCAGCGCACTAGCAGCGGGACTGAGAGAAGGCTCTGAGAGCTCGGCCTCCCCCGAACCATGTCCGACAAGAGGGCCCCACAACTCCGAGGTCACTAGGCCACTTCAGCAGCCTGCATCCTCCTGTTATCCGTGATAGCTCAAGGTGAGTGGAGCTCTGGATTTCCTGTTATTGTTTCAAACCACTGATCAGCTCTTTTAAGTGAAATCAGTCATTCCACCGCTCCTACACTTTTTTCCTTGTAGCTTCAGAAGATACGATGCACTCACATTCCAGCACAACCTGGGAGTAAGCCATGTTGATTTTTCCCAGCTCTTCACAACAAACATTTAAGCCCACCATACAAAAAGCACAGTGCTAACATTTGATCACACTAACAGGATACTGGCTAAATTCCACAATAAATCTTATTTTTATAGCTATTACACTCTAAAAGGAAGAAAAACAGACATGGCAAATGAGTCTATTTCTGATTAAGTAAGACCAGGCTCTGGCTTGGCAGAAATGTGTATAAAAAAATGCAAAACCTAGGCTGGTTGGGCTCAGCAGTTGAAGTGTCGGCCCATGGACCAAAAGAGTTGTGGATTCGATTCCGGTCAAGGGCACGTACCTCAGTTGTGGTTCAGTCCCTGGCCCTGGTCGGGGTCTTGCAGGAGGCAACCAGTTGATGTGTCTCTTTCTCATATCGATGTTTCTCTCTCTCTTTCTCATTCTGTCTGAAAATAAGTGGAAAAATATCCTCAGGTAAGGATTAAAAAAAAAAAATGCAATGAGAACAATTTTATCTATAAAATAGAGGTAAGACCAAGGATCTATCTACATATAAGATCAAACAGATTAAAAAAAAAAAGGTGAAGGCATTGTGAGATACAGCCTCAAGCTAATGGGATGCAGGGACTCTGAACTTACTGTGGTCCCAATACATCATATTCTGTCTGAATCTTGCATTACAATTACTTAGAAATATATGGTAGAAGGCGGGGGGCTTCAACATGGCACATGTAACTTACCATCATGTAACTCTGCTCAGCGTCCAGGTACCTTTTATACTCGTGATTGAGCTTGTCAAATACAGTGGCTGTCATTGGCAGAGATGCTCTGTCTGGCTCACTCAACACTGGAAAGAATCAATGTTTGCACAGGTCAACCAACTTTATGTCAACTTCAGAACATGTTGCTAT